GTGCCACCTTAACTCGGCGGTGTTAATTGCAGGGTTAAAAACTCCAAATATTATTGGATTACCTCAAATTTATGGTGTTTTTTTTTTAATCTGGAAGACTTTTTGTTATACCAGTGGTTCTCAAAATGCAACATTTGTCTTCATGTTTAGATATTATTGACAGACCTGGTAATTTAGGTGAAGATATAAATGTTGTTGGTATTGTATTTCAGAGTTTTGGGGTACCGTCTGACATAGGATTACCGTCTGACATTGGATTACCGTCTGACATTGGAGTACCGTCTGACTTTGGATTCCGTCTGACTTTGGAGTATCGACTGACTTTAGAGTACCGACTGACTTTAGAGTACCGACTGACTTTAGAGTACCGACTGACTTTAGAGTGCCGACTTACTTTAGAGTGCCGTCTGACTTTGAAGTAGCGTCTAACTTAGTTAGGGAGATGTTGTACTGAGTAACATTTTTAATATCAAGCTTGGGAAGACAGGGGATGGGATACAATCGTACAAGAGAACAGGGAAAAGTCGATAGTCAAAGACGCCACGAGATCAAACAGACAGAGCCTCCGACATGTAGGGAAAATTTAATGGATGCCTCCAACACTAATCACTAGAGGTTACTGAACTGTTTCAGGTTTCCTGCTTCAACAAATTTATGATTTATGATTATTACCTACAAACAAAAAAACATTATCAGCTTTGTTTGTTTTTTTTTAAATTCGTTTTATTGAATATTTTATATGTACATTTATTTCAAGTAATCCTATAAGCCAGGCTTGCACAACATAAGGCCCGCGGGCCGTATGCGGCTTGCCAGCTCCCATTTGGTGACCCGCCAAGTAACGAAGAATTTTTTTTTATTATTACTACTTTCTTAATAGCTTTCTCCCAGTCCCATCATCTTTCGGCCCGGACAAGCTTTTCATAAAGTATTACAACCCACCTTACATTTTTTTGTTGTTCAGGCCTACAATATAAACGAATATATATTTACGCTGAACAATGCCAGAATCAGAATATTCTAGATCCCTCGTGCCATCTCTATGGACATAATCATATTTACCCATAACCTTCGTACTTCTTGTTTAAAAAAATTAAATTATAATTTACTTGCTCATCAATAATGTAATATTGCTGAACACAGTTCAGTAGTTCATTTTAATTTAATCCCATTCGCGGAAAAACTTTCATGATCATTTACTTCAATGTGAACATTTCATCATTGTGTCTAACAATATGAACATTTCATCATTGTGTCTAACAATATGAACATTTCATCATTGTGTGTAACAATATGAACATTTCATCATAATGTATTAAATATTAACATTTCATCATTATGTGTTACATTATGAACATTTCATCATCGTGTACTACAATATGAAAATTTCAGCATCATGGACCACCATATCAACATTTCACCAATGTAAACTACACTATGAATATTTCATCATTATGGGTTTCAATATGAACATTTCATCAGTATGTTTTGCAATATGAACATTTAATCATTTCGTTCTACAATATGAACATCTCATCATAAAGTTCTATAATATGAACATTTCTTCATCGTTTACAACAATATGAACATTTCATCACCATGTGCTACAATATTAACGATTATCAACTTATTTTTTTAACGTATTGTTTAATGCATACACAAAAATACATACCATTTAAATGCCCACGAAATAAATTGTTGTCAATGGTATGAGAATCACTGTTGTTATTATATGAACGCTGTCTGGGTCCGTGATTTGTGTCATGAGAGTCATCATTCTGTCTGAGTGATCATTGGATGACAGGAATAGAGTAATCAACAAGTTTGTGGATATAAGGCGTCAGAGAGAGGGAGATAGAGAGTGAGGGAGGGAGAGAGGGGAAAGTAGAGAGTAAGAGAGAGCGAGAGGGGAAAGGAGAGAGAAAGAGAGAGAGAGGCAAGGAGAGAGAGAGAGGGAAGAGAGAGAGAGAGTTCAGTTCCAACTTGTAATCATGATACCTAACTTGTCTATGCCTTTACTTCCATCTGTAACATAGTCACAGCCTATAGCCCCATGGGTGCTAACTTTATTCCGACAGGTACCATGCATGTCCCTTGTCTGCCCACGCAGGACACGCCGATGGTCGTTTTGTCTCTTAGGTAACGTCGAGTGGGCACGCTGGCCGACGTCTCCCAATCGGCAGCCACCACAGGCTTGCCAACTCGAGACCCGGGAGGGAGATTAATAACCAGATATTTTGAAATTCGATCGCGCAGACGTTTCGGCCGAAACTGAAACTACGCGGAAAATAATCATATGGCAATTTTCAGCACCGAAACCTAACCGAAATTCGGTTGACCTCTTCTTTTACCGATCTGTGGGTTCGATGTATAGACTTGCAGAATGACAAAATTTTGACAGAAAAAAATCAAAGACTTGTAATTAACCCATCATTGCGTCATTGAAAGCTGATTAGTTTCCAAATATAGAACCCCCGTGGCCTTGAAAATGACTGTTGAATGTGGCTCAGGTTTAGCTTGAGATCCAACTTCCTCCTGCATGAACATCGTTAATCCAAGTACAGGCCTTCTATACAATTTTCTCACGCATATAACATCGTTAATCCAAGCACAGGCCTTCTATACAACTTTCTCCCGCATATAACATCGCAAATCCAATACAGTCATGAGATCCATCTTTCTCCCGCAAATAACATAGCTAATTCAAGTACAGACCTGAGATCTAACTTCCTCTTACATATCAAATTGCTCATTCAAGTACAGACCTGAGATCTAACTTCCTCTTACATATAAAATTGCTAATTCAAGTACAGACCTGAGATCTAACTTCCTCTTACATATAAAATTGCTCATTCAAGTACAGACCTGAGATCTAACTTCCTCTTACATATAAAATTGCTCATTCAAGTACAGACCTGAGATCTAACTTCCTCTTACATATAAAATTGCTCATTCAAGTACAGACCTGAGATCTAACTTCCTCTTACATATAAAATTGCTCATTCAAGTACAGACCTGAGATCTAACTTCCTCTTACATATAAAATTGCTCATTCAAGTACAGACCTGAGATCTAACTTCCTCTTACATATAAAATTGCTCATTCAAGTACAGACCTGAGATCTAACTTCCTCTTACATATAAAATTGCTCATTCAAGTACAGACCTGAGATCTAACTTCCTCTTACATATAAAATTGCTCATCCAAGTACAGACCTGAGTTCTAACTTCCTCTTACATATCAAATTGCTAATCCAAGTACAGACCTGAGATCTAACTTCCTCTTACATATAAAATTGCTAATCCAAGTACAAGCCTGAGATCACAGATATAAAATTTGGATTCTCTGATTTGCTACCAGACTATGAGAAGCTATTTAAAAACTGTTTTAAGCACCAAAAAAAAAAAATAATAATAATTAAAAAAATCTCATTGCACATTATTAACAAGTAACTAGGTATTGAATGTTATCTGTTAGTTGTCACATTTGATCAAATGTATTGTATATACAACTTAAATTCCTTTAAAAAATTGTCATGCGACCAGGCAAAAAAATACAATATTAATAAATGGCAATAATTACGTGCGACTCTGTGCACAAAAGGTCGGGCAGCCCCAGGGTTAGATCATGAGGAAAGAGCCGTCAAACTAAAGAAATATTCACACTAGTGTTTACATGATCCACTGTTTGCCTTGATCTTTCATTCAGTTGGACACATTGTTTGGGGGGGGGGGGTGGGTTTCTTCGAAAAAAGAGATTTCTTAGTGCATGGACATTTTAATTACAAACAGCATTTAAACTCATTGTTGTTGAGTTGACAGGTTCTATTTTTTGTAATTTTACATTTGTCCGTGCTCAAGTTTGCAAAAAAAAATATTAAAAAATCCGGTTATTTAACTAAACATTGGAACATTTTCCTCATGTTGACCATTTTCCTTTGAAGTTAAAATAGATGTAATTAATATCTTTCAAAGCCAAACATACAATTTAAAGGAAGTAAATCAATTTTCAATTTAATATTTACAATCTTTTTCGTATTGAACTTGGCCCTTTTAAATAAATATATACAGATTGATTTTTTAAAATGTCAAAATCGTGAAATGGCATTAGCTGTTAAATTGGCTGCATTGATTATTTATTATGAAGATTGATTTTTTAAATTTTATTTGTACAATAACAAAACATTTTTTAACCTTCTGTTTTCAATAGATTTATTTTTGTGTTAAGTGTCTGAATTAAACATGCTTTTTAAGCAATTATTTTCTTATATATGTGATTTCAAAATGTTCAGTTAATGTTATATTCAAAGTATTTAAAATTAATTTAAAAAATTCTTTAAAAAATACTTATTTCATTCAACTTTAAACACAATTTTTTTAAAACAACGGACAAAAGTGTTATGTTTGTTTTATTTTCACATATTGTTTCCTTTAAGTGTATCCCATTACTGGCTTGTTTTATGTGTATCCCATTTCTAGGTTGTTTTATGTGTATCCCATTACTGGGTTGTTTGATGTGTATCCCATTACTGGGTTGTTTGATGTGTATCCCAAAACTGGGTTGTTTTATCTGAGGTTGGTCAAAGAATTTAATAGCATCACATTAATGTGTTGACAGGCGCTGGTGTAAGATTTAAATATCAAAGAAATATAAGGAAAATATATTAAGTAGCATTTACTTGAATTTAATTGCAATTAAAACTTTAAATATTTCTTCAAACGATTAAAATATGGAAATAATGAAATTTATAGTATTTAATAGAACATTATTTCTCATTAAAGACATAATTTAGATAAGAAATTGAAGATTTAAAAAATTGCCTTTCAAAATTATATTAATTATAAGTTGCAATGTAATTAAATAATTGTTGAACTTTGTTATTCAAAACAATATATAACGAGTAGCTGGGTAATAATATGTTAACTTTTCTAAATTGCAACCAATACTATAATAATCGTGTAATTATCAAATAAACATATTTTTAACCACATAGATTTCCTGGTAGCTTGTTAAAATAATAAAATATAGATACATAGTATTAAAATTTTTATGATGAATGGTTTAGAAAAATAATCATTATAGTTATATTTAGCCTGAAATTTTATAATCAACGATTTTCAAAAACACATTGACATCTGTAGTAAAAGCAACCTTTATCGATACTTGATACACAGCGAACACACATGGTGTATGTAAATAACAGTTAAAAAGACTGTCTTAGATTAGATTGATTTCCACAACACCTTTGATAACTGAAATATATCCTCTTGTGTTCATCGATTAATTCATTAAATATCAATTGAAAATTGTAATTTCTTTTATTTGGTTCGTAAGTTATAGTCTCAACGACGCGCAGGGGAAGGAGAAATTTTGAATGTTTTCACAATATTTTACTAAATTCCCTTTCCCGTGTCTAAAACTTCTAACAGATGGACGTTAACGTAACCAAGCAGCCAGGCAAATGAAATAAAGTCCAAAAACTTCTTGTATTTCTCTGGTGAAAATGAAGTGTCCATGGTTTCTGGGCTCTGATTTTGTAGTTCTCTCCCCTGATGAGAAAATAGTTTTGTAATTTTTAAAAAAAAATTAGTGTAAATGGATTACATTATAAACTTTAACTTTCTCTGAATAAAGTTTTTAAAAAAATGGATTTACGTATTTGTACACACTTTTAAACTATGTGAATTAGGATTTACAGACAAGTGATTATGTACATGGATTAGACAACAGAGTGACGCACAGGTTTGTGAACGTATAACGACATTAGGATCGTGTATGGCACTACACTACAGGGAAGTGCATGGAACTACACTGCAGGGAATTGCATGGAACTACACTGCAGGGAAGTGCATGGAACTACACTGCAGGGAAGTGCATGGAACTACACTGCAGGGAAGTGTATGGAACCACACTGCAGGGAAGTTTATGGAACCACACTGCAGGGAAGTGTATGGAACCACACTGCAGGGAAGTGTATGGAACCACACTGCAGGGAAGTTTATGGAACCACACTGCAGGGAAGTGTATTGAACCACAATGCAGGGAAGTTTATGGAACCACACTGCAGGGAAGTGTATGGAACCACACTGCAGGGAAGTGAATAAATATAAAAAGTACTGTAGTATCTGAATCAAATAAATAAAAACCGAAATATATTTCCTTATTTACTAAAATGATTATTATTTGACTAACCCAGTAAAGATATGTCACAACTTTACTCATAAAATAATAATAATAATACTTATCCCTGAAAAGATACTTTTCAATTATTTTGTCTTGGTTGGCTCGTTATGATGTTTTTATGTGATTGGCTTGACTTAAAATAAAGTTTGGTGCCATTAATCGAAATACATTGAAATAAGTTTTTGAAATATACTAATAGGTAAAATAGGTGATTTATACAGTAATTTTAGGAAAGTAAAGGAACATGTGGTATAACTTTATAGACAGCACTTCCTGTCATGTATTTTACACATCATGTCCTCATTCTGATCTTTCGATTGTAAAATTTATTGTAAATTTACTATTAGTGTATTTGAAATTATCAAGATAGAAATTACAAGTTACAAATATACACAATTATATGTTCCATTGTAACAAGATCTAACACGAGACTCTAGAGAATATTTCTGGAGCTTTTTGTCTAGTGAAATTTGAAATGAAAAATATTCAGTGTGAAACATACTGTGTTCACAAGAACAAACTGAAGCGCTTTCAATGACCAAATAACCAACAACCGAATTTAATTTTGTTTTTTTTATCAAAAAATATAAAATCATATTTGTTTCCTTCAACTGAGATTTTGAACCAATAAAATATAATCTAGGTTTAAATGAGCAGAGCAGAAAGAATCTCAAGTGTTTTGTAATATAAACCTACCCCCACTTTGGGTTTTTGAGCCAGTAGCGCTCTCATCCAGCCGGTCTATATGATTTTAAAAATGTAGGATGTTAAAAACAAGTTGAATTACACGGGTGATGTTACAAGCAATATAGTACACAGTATGAGATCTCTGCAGCAAGATGAGACAAATTGTTTGTTCTTAGCAGCCACTTGAGACACAGAGTGTGATGTTTACAGCCACTTGAGACACAGAGTATGATGTTTACAGCCACTTGAGACGCAGAGTGTGATGTTTACAGCCACTTGAGACGCAGAGTGTGATGTTTACAGCCACTTGAGACACAGTGTGATGTTTACAGCCACCTAGTTACAGACTGTGTTTGTCGCAGTAATTTCAGACACAGTGTGTGATGTTTACAGCCACTTGAGACACAAAGTGTGTTGGTCGCAGTAATTTGAGACAGAGCGTGTGATGTTTGCAGTCAGTTGAGACATGTGTGTGATGAGAGTTTCAAGTTGGACACAGTGTATGATGTTTACAGCCAGTTAATAGATAGTGTGTTATCATAGCGGCCTTGACAAACATAGTGTGTAATGATAGCAGCCAGTTTATACATTGTCTATAATGATAATAGCAAGTTGATACATAGTTTGTAAAGATAGTGGCAAGTTAAATCATAATGTGGGATGATAGCAGCGAGTTGATTCATAGTATGTGATGTTAACAGCCAGTTGATACATAGTGTGAGATGATTGTAATCAGATGATACATAAAGTTTTATGTTAACGGCCAGTTGATACAAAGTGTGCGATGTAAACAGCCAGTTGATACAAAGTGTGTGATGTTAGCAGCCATTTGATACTTAGTGTGCCATGTTAATAGCCATTTGATACATAATGTGCGATGTTAACAGCCAGTTGATACTTAGTGTGTGATTTTAGCAGCCATTTGATACAAAGTGTCCGATGTTAACAGCCAGTTGATACTTAGTGTGTGATTTTAGCAGCCATTTGATACATAGTGTGTGATGATGGCAGCCATTTGATACAAAGTGTGCGATGTTAGCAGCCATTTGATACTTAGTGTGTGATGTTAATAGCCATTTGATACACAGTGTATGATGTTAACAAGCCAGTTGATACAAAGTGTGCGATGTTAACAAGCCAGTTGATATAAAGTGTGCGATGTTAACAGCCAGTTGATACAAAGTGTGCGATGTTAACAGCCAGTTGATACAAAGTGTGCGATGTTAACAAGCCAGTTGATACAAAGTGTGCGATATTAACAGCCAGTTGATACAAAGTGTGCGATGTTAACAAGCCAGTTGATACAAAGTGTGCGATGTTAACAGCCAGTTGATACAAAGTGTGCGATGTTAACAGGGATTTGATACATAGTGTGCGATGTTAACAGCAAGTTGATACATAGTGTGCGATGTTAACAGCAAGTTGATACATAGTGTGCGATGTTAACAGACAGTTGATATATAGTATCTGATATTAGCAGCCATTTGATACTTAGTTTCTGATGTTAACAGCCAGTTGATACATAGTGTATGATGTTAACAGCAAGTTGATACATAGTGTGCGATGTTAACAGCCAGTTGATACATAGAGTGCGATGTTAACAGACAGTTGATATATAGTGTGCGGTGTTAATAGCCAGTTGATACATAGTGTCTGATGTTAGCAGCCATTTGATACTTAGTTTCTGATGTTAACAGCCAGTTGATACATAGTGTGTGATGTTAACAGCAAGTTGATACATAGTGTGCGATCTTAACAGCCAGTTGGTACATAGTGTTTGAGGTCAACAGCCAGTTGATACAAAGTGTGCGATGTTAGCAGCCAGTTGATACATAGTGTGTGATGTTAACAGCAAGTTGATACATAGTGGGCGATTTTAACAGCCAGTTGATACATAGTGTTTGATGTTAGCAGCCATTTGATACTTAGTTTGTGATGTTAACAGCCAGTTGTTACATAGTGTGTGATGTTAATAGCCAGTTGATACATAGTGTGAGATGTTAACAGCCAGTTGATACTTAGTGTGTGATTTTAGCAGCCATTTGATACAAAGTGTCCGATGTTACCAGCTATTTGATACTTAGTGTGTGATGTTAATAGTCATTTGATACATAGTGTTTGATGTTAGCAGCCATTTGATACTTAGTTTGTGATGTTAACAGCCAGTTGTTACATAGTGTGCGATGTTAATAGCCAGTTGATACATAGTGTTTGATGTTAGCAGCCATTTGATACTTAGTTTGTGATGTTAACAGCCAGTTGTTACATAGTGTGTGATGTTAATAGCCAGTTCATACATAGTGTCAGATGTTAACAGCCAGTTGATACTTAGTGTGTGATTTTAGCAGCCATTTGCTACAAAGTGTCCGATGTTACCAGCTATTTGATACTTAGTGTGTGATGTTAATAGTCATTTGATACATAGTGTTTGATGTTAGCAGCCAATTGATACTTAGTTTGTGATGTTAACAGCCAGTTGTTATATAGTGTGCGATGTTAATAGCCAGTTGATACATAGTGTTTGATGTTAGCAGCCATTTGATACTTAGTGTGCGATGTTAACAGCCAGTTGATAAAAAAAGTGCGATGTTAATGGCCAGTTGATACAAAATGTGTGATGTTAGCAGCCATTTAATGCTTAGTGTGTGATGTTAATAGACGGTTGATACAAAGTGTCCGATGTTAGCAGCAATTTGATACAAAGTGTCCGATGTTAGCAGCAATTTGATATTTAGTGTGTGATGTTAATAGCCATTTGATACATAGTGTGTGATGTTGGCAGCCATTTGATTCAAAGTGTGCGATGTTAGCAGCCATTTGATACTTAGTGTGTGGTGTTAATAGCCAGTTGATACACAGTGTGCGATGTTAATAGCCAGTTGATACATAGTTTGTGATGTTATCAGCCAGTTGATACATAGTGTGTGATATTAGCAGCCATTTGATACTTAGTGGGTGGTGTTAATAGCCATTTGATACATAGTGTGCGATGTTAACAGCCAGTTGATACATAGTTTGTGATGTTAACAGCCAGTTGTTACATAGTTTGTGATGTTAAAAGCCAGTTGATACATAGTTTGTGATGTTATCAGCCAGTTGATACATAGTTTGTGATGTTATCAGCCAGTTGATACATAGTTTGTGATGTTATCAGCCAGTCGATACATAGTTTGTGATGTTATCAGCCAGTTGATACATAGTGTGTGATGATAGTAGGCAGTCAATACATAGTGTGTGATGATAGCGGCTAGGTGATTGATTGTGTGTGATGATAAAAACAGTCGATATATAAAGCCAGTGATGATACCAGCAAGTTGATCCTTTTGTGTGATGATATCAGCAAGTTGATACTTTTGTGTGATGATAGAAGCCAGATGATACACATTATGTATAATGTTAGCAGCTAGTTCAAACATAGTATGCAATGTTATTAGCACGTTGAGACACCATGAATCATGTTAGTATTTGTTAGCAGCACGTTGAGACACTGTGTTGTTAGCAGCACGTTGAAACAGTGTGTGTCATGTTACCAGCGCGTTGAGACACTGTGTTTCATTTTACCAGCACGTTGAGACACTGTGCGTCATGTTAGCAAAACGTTGAGACACTGTATGTCATGTAAGCAACATGTTGAGACATTGTGAGTCATGTTATTAGCACGTTAAGACACTTTGGGTCATGCTAGCAGCACATTGAGACACTGTGTGTTATGTTAGCAGCACGTTTAGACAATGTGTGTTATGTAAGCAACACGTTAAGACATTGTTAGTCATGTTATCAGCACGTTGAGACACTGTGCGTCATGTAGCAGCACGTTGAGACACTGTGCGTCATGTAAGCAGCATGTTGAGACACTGAGAGACATGTTAAAAGCTTCTTGAAACATAATGGTATTTGGTAAACGATGCATCACAATGACTTGACTGTATGGTGAAACCAGAAATTTATCAATTAAAGCCTTTTATTAATTAAACTTTGGCAATATCAGTTGATCTTAATGCAAAGCAATTGATGTATATTCATTTTACCAACGTCAGTAGTTCTAGTTAAGATATTTATTATTCTATCTTTTTCGTATACGCCCTTTAATACTTTAATAATTTTTTTGTTAAAATGATGTAAACGGAACATTCGGTTACCCCACGATATAAAGTTGTAGAGTGGGACAGATGCTCACCGTGACAATGATGTCAATTATAGCCTATCATTCCTTGTTGTTGTCAACCATCTTATTCCATCTAAGACGACTTAATTAACATTTATGTATATTATTTAGGATGTTGAACAATTCGTTCGAATGTTAGTGCTTGTCAAATGAAGCACACCTCCAATCAAACCCCATGTTTCGCTGCTAATATCTTTGGAATTGCATTTCGAGTTCTAAAGCAAACAAAGGGAAGTAAGTTTATAAAATTTTGGGATAAATATATTACAGGTAACCATGTGTAGAACGTGTTCGGTGGGACAGAAAACCGTATGTTCGTGAGTAGATAGTTAAGCAAGAAGTAAGTATTACAAAATAGCTTTAGTCTCAAACACAAATATAGATGACACCAAGGTCCGTAACCTCGTTGTTGTTTGTGTTTCTATATTAGACTCATTTTAGAACATCTGCACTGGAAATAGTATCATTATCCATTTTGGGAAGGAACCTGGTCGGAAGGTGACATTTAATTTTTTTTTATGTTTTTAAAAATTCAAAGAGAGGTCCGTTGAGACGAGCATATTAACAATGTATGTAACCAAGCAAACAAGGCCCTTGGGTTCTTAAGGCGTAATCTAAAGATTGGCAACTCCAGTGTGAAAGAAAGAGCATATAAAGCCTTTGTCCGTCCGGTTTTAGATTATGAATCTTCAGCCTGGGACAAATTTACCCAGAAGAGCATTGACAGGATGGAGGCGGTCCAGCGACGGGCAGCACGCTTTGTCCTGAACCACTACAGGAATACCTCAAGTGTTGGCAGCATGCTGGAAACACTAGGCTGGTCAGCATTCGAAGAACGACGACGACAAACCAGGCTCTCCATGATGGACAAAATAAATAATGGGCTGGTCCACTGTTCCAGTATTAAACACAAACTCGTCCCTCTCCCTCATAGACAGCGACGAGGCAATGACAGGCAATTCCAGGCTCATACCAGCAAGAAGCCAGTATAGGAGCTGTTCATTCCTGCTCAAGGCAATCAGGGACTGGAACAAGCTTTCAAAAGGAAGAGTAGTGACGACAACAGTAGACACATTTGCTTCTACTGCGTCAAGCCTTCCAACCCCCAGTGAATGATTCCCTCAAAAAGTGGCTCTTGCAACCAGTGAAACATACTCTTTAACACAAGGCACATTGCAAATCCCCTCTACATGCATAGGAGCCAAAATGATCAATAAATGTATCGTGGATCCTTAACATATAGAAGAAGAAGAAGAAGAAAAAGGGAATATTTTTATCACAAAACATTATTTAAATATGTAAATCATTGTTTACACTTCCTTGAAATCAACCTGGTAATCTCACTTGGTAGTGTAAGTGTACACAAAAAAAAATAAACATCGGATTGTGAGTTTAACGACATAGAGAGAGAAACGCAAAGAAATGGAGAAAAATATATAAAAGTGAAATAAACTTAGACAGAGTCATAGAAAGGGAAAGAAGTGACGAGCAAAGTGAAGGGAATTCGTACATTTTTTAACCATCTGATTCACATAATTTTCGTTTTGAAAAAAAAAAATCAATCTACACCAATTTTAGTTATGATTTGTAGATGTTAATTATTGATGCCATATATATATATATATATATATATATATATATATATATATATATATATATATATATATGGAAAAAATCTGCATGACTTCTAAGAAAAGACGTACCACTTGGAGAGTCGGTGTTGACCTTTGAATCTTTAGGGCCGGTGTACAGCGAGGCTGTAGAGATGTAAAAGTGGTTGTTTTTTATCAGTAGCTGGTAGTCCAAGGGCCGTCAACCCAAATCGTCTAAAGGGCCACTTTGATCGCTAGTCAATTTTTCTCGGGCCTTTCTACTAAGCTAATTTTTTTTAAACACTATCAAAAAGCAGGATGCCTATCAGGAAAACGGTATCCCACAGTTTTTGAGTTTCCAATGCAGTCGGGATCACTCTCTGAATGTATTCTCACCAGGAAACGAATCCCATCGGCAAATGGGATCCAATCGAAAAAAGGAAGTAATTGTGATCGGGATTCCACCGGGAACTGTATCCAATCAGGATACTGGTCCCATCGGGATCATTGTTTAATCGGAATCGGGATCACCTGTCATTCACTAACCAGATAAATAACTGTTAATTTATATTTTTTCTCGTAAGTTTCAAGATAAAGTTGCAAGATATATAATTAAATAAACATGTTATATAGGTAGAAAGTGATGACAGATACAAATTGATGCCAGTTTTAATTTCAACAATTTAATTAAGATCGTTACAGTCCATATATGGAGTCATTAGTTGTACACTGTATTTTTTTTTAATGTAAATGTTACCGTAAACCACTGGACTCTCAATTAAGTAATTATAATACTTTATTTTATTATTTTTTTTTTTATATTTTGACTTTCTCTTACCGTTTTAAGCGTGTGACAGTGTCAGTCTGGCCTAATTAAATCAAGTCCCAGACTTACCTATACGGACACTGAGCCAAACGGAAGTACTGCAATCTGAGCTATCAAAGTCGTCCTCATTTGCCATATAATAGAGTCTACACATATATTGGCCACTGTCTTCAACCCTTGTGTCCATCACTGTAAGAGTCACATTAATAGAGAATATGTTGTCAGTATGGTTCTCACTGTGAAATGACGGCTTCCAGTTTCTTCCATCGGGTATTTGCTGTAAATGGATGAGACATTGTAAATGAAGATTGTAATCTACAAATACTGGCGAAAAAATGAACAGATATTTGACATAATGAAATGAAAATAATGTACTCTTTTTTTCTCTCAGAGCTACAGCAATTGGGATTATTTACTTCACATATACTATTTAGGCCTCAAAATGTAGACGTGGCGATAGTGTATTGGTTAAGAAGACTGCTCATAGTACACACAGATGGAGCGAGCTCATGGTACACACAGATGAAGCGAGCTCATGGTACACACAGATGGAGCGAGCTCATGGTACACACAGATGGAGCGAGCTCATGGTACACACAGATGGAGCGAGCTCATGGTACACACAGATGGAGCGAGCTCATGGTACACACAGATGGAGCGAGCTCATGGTACACACAGATGGAGCGAGCTCATGGTACACACAGATGGAGCGAGCTCATGGTACACACAGATGGAGCAAGCTCATGGTACACACAGATGGAGCGAGCTCATGGTACACACAGATGGAGCGAGCTCATGGTACACACAAATGAAGCGATCTCGTTTCCAGGCATATAAATTTGTGATGAAATCTAGCTGGACATTTAAATTCCAATGCAGTGATACACTTTGAAAACCTTGATTGATTATCCTCCCCTACCCTTTGTATTGTTTGCTATGGGTTATTCCCCCTATTGTCATCGTCTAGAACTGAATGAGAGTGGTGAACCGTCTCATGAAACGCGCAGTCAAAAATACACTTCACTTCTGAGTCAACTCAGGAAATCTTTTGATCACGATGCAAAAGGTCTGTTTAACACATGATAGAAATCAGCCAATGACCAATTATATAACCTTAACTATATATGCCAGGTAGAATTAAGAACACTTCTTTCTAGATCTTCACGCCATAGTGACCAGCCGGCGGCAAATATAACCTAGTGAGTTGTTTAAGCATTTTATTTTAAACCTTTTATATTGTTATATTTTACTACCAATTATTTAAAGCAAGCCTGCACAACCAAATGGAAGTAACACTTAATGAAAAACGTGCGCGGGCCAACGGAAAATAAGGAAGGACTTGTGCGGGGCAAAAGAAAAGAGGTCAGAGGAAAAGCGATTAAGAAAATATTAATAATAAAGAATGCTTCGTTACTTTACGCGCCACAAAGTGGGTGATTGCGGGCCGCATGTGGCCCGCGGGCCGTATGTTGTGACGCTTGTTGTGCAGGAATGATTTCAAGTATGTCTTATTTATGTCAATGCTTTATAATTCTCATAAGAATAAACAAGTTTGACCTTTGCATTTTATCTTAAAAACTATGTTTGCCATGTGTCTTCAAGCTGGGACACGTATTGGCCATTTTGAGATTTAGTTATCTAAAGACTTCATGCCATCTTAAGAATGGTGAGGTAGATTTATACTATTATAGTGCATTCCTTTTTTTATCAATTATTGTGTCATTATGATTGAAGAGATCATTTGCCTAATTTCTTCCCAGGGCTCCGGTTGACAAGTCTGTGGTGGCTTATCGATTAAGAGGCGTCGGCCACCGACCCCCTCGACGTTACCCGGGGAACAAGAACACTGTGACTCTTCCTGCGTGGGCATACAATGGACGTACTCGTTACCTGCCGTAAATAAAACAGCACCTACAGGGCTGCCAGTTGTGATGCTTCACATGTGGAAGAATCATGATTACAAGTAGCCGTTAATGGATTTGAGGCGAGACGCAAAGATGGTAACCTGTGGCCGATGATTCTTACTATGCAGCTATGAGAAGCTGTTTCAAGGCAACCGTTTCGTCCCAGCTCCTTCGCAAATTTGTTGCGTTGTGGAAAACCACAGTTGAATCCCTCTTATAGGGCGTCTAACGCTTCCCCGGCATGGGGGGGGGGAGATTTTAAGACGTACATTTTCCATCCCGACTCCTGAGAAAGTCGATCGTGTGCATTGTGCGCAAACACAGTGTCGGACCGACCGGGTGTCTTTGGGTTAGGACGGCCACCAGTGGAACCCGATCGAGCGGACTCGGGTGGAGGCTGCCCTGAAAAAGAGACATCCACAACGTGCCGCTATGCGGCCCGATATCGGGTGTTGGGGAGGGGTGTTTTGGTGAGGGCATAAAGAGCGCAAGCTCGACGGCCCTCTGACGCTATTTATTAATGTAATATTTGCCTCACGTCGACGCTAGCCATGGATGCTTGCATCGACTATGGTAAAGACTAATAATATGTTTGTGTTCACCTGCATGTTCACACCAAAGCCTCGATCTGAATTCGTTGTTGTTGTTGTCGACTTACGTACGACCAATGCAAAAGTTGCTCCCTTCCTATTTTTCATATCATTGCCGTATCGCCTGGTTGCCGTATCGCCTGGTTGCCGTATCGCCTGGTTGCCGTATCGCCTGGTTGCCGTATCGCCTGGTTGCCGTATCGCCTGGTTGCCGTATCGCCTGGTTGCCGTATCGCCTGGTTGCCGTATCGCCTGGTTGCCGTATCGCCTGGTTGCCGTATCGCCTGGTTGCCGTATCGCCTGGTTGCCGTATCGCCTGGTTGCCGTATCGCCTGGTTGCCGTATCGCCTGGTTGCCGTATCGCCTGGTTGCCGTATCGCCTGGTTGCCGTATCGCCTGGTTGCCGTATCGCCTGGTTGCCGTATCGCCTGGTTGCCGTATCGCCTGGTTGCCGTATCGCCTGGTTGCCGTATCGCCTGGTTGCCGTATCGCCTGGTTGCCGTATCGCCTGGTTGCCGTATCGCCTGGTTGCCGTATCGCCTGGTTGCCGTATCGCCTGGTTGCCGTATCGCCTGGTTGCCGTATCGCCTGGTTGCCGTATCGCCTGGTTGCCGTATCGCCTGGTTGCCGTATCGCCTGGTTGCCGTATCGCCTGGTTGCCGTATCGCCTGGTTGCCGTATCGCCTGGTTGCCGTATCGCCTGGTTGCCGTATCGCCTGGTTGCCGTATCGCCTGGTTGCCGTATCGCCTGGTTGCCGTATCGCCTGGTTGCCGTATCGCCTGGTTGCCGTATCGCCTGGTTGCCGTATCGCCTGGTTGCCGTATCGCCTGGTTGCCGTATCGCCTGGTTGCCGTATCGCCTGGTTGCCGTATCGCCTGGTTGCCGTATCGCCTGGTTGCCGTATCGCCTGGTTGCCGTATCGCCTGGTTTCCATATTGCCGTATTGCCGTTGGGCAAGAAATCATCGCATCTTTGCAGCTGGATTCAGGATTGGTTCCCTGGGGCCGGACTCCAAGGACTACGCCCCGTACCCATCCGGAAGAACAAGACGTTAGCCTGAATCGAAAGGACTGCATGTTGAAAGGACTGCATGTTGAAAGGACTGCATGTTGAAAGGACTGCATGTTGAAAGGACTGCATGTTGAAAGGACTGCATGTTGAAAGGACTGCATGTTGAAAGGACTGCATGTTGAAAGGACTGCATGTTGAAAGGACTGCATGTTGAAAGGACTGCACGTTGAAAGGACTGCATGTTGAAAGGACTGCATGTTGAAAGGACTGCACGTTGAGAGGACTGCACGTTGAAAGGACTGCATGTTGAAAGGACTGCACGTTGAAAGGACTCTGCACCAACGATACTCTGCTAGGGACTCCACATATCACAACTAGCAAATACAATACCACAACGTACTAGTGTGGCTTCCACTTTTGTTCCCGCCCTGAGAAGCCACGAAGGAGAAAACTGGAGGAAACACTTTCAACCGTGAGGTGTCCTCGTTCATTGATCGATCAAAACAGATCATCAATCATTAAGTTATGGTTTAAACCAAGGATCTCAAACTCGTGGCCCACGCGAAGATATTTTGTGGCCCGCTACCTGATAACAGCGTTTATTATTAATGCGGCCCGCGCGTTGTCCACATTCTCATATCTATAATGTGACCCTCAGCGACTATTTCATTCGAGACATCGCTGCGATCTCTACATATAATGTTATGTGACATCACTGCGATCTCTACATATAATGTTATGTGACATCACTGCGATCTCTACATATAATGTTATGTGACATCACTGCGATCTCTACATATAATATTATGTGACATCACTGCGATCTCTACATATAATGTTATGTGAAATCACTGCGATCTCTACATATAATGTTATGTGACATCACTGCGATCTCTACATATAATGTTATGAAACGTCACTGCGATCTCTACATATAATGTTTTGAGACATCACTGCGATCTCTACATATAAAGTTATAAGACATCACTGCGATCCCTACATATAATGCTTTGCGACATCACTGCGATCTCTACATATAACGTTATCAGACATCACTGCGATCTCTACGTATAAAGTTATAAGACATTACTGCGATCCCTGCATAGAATGTTAGAGACATCACTGCGTTCTCTACATATAAAGTTATAAGACATTACTGCGATCTCCACATATAAAGGTATAAGACATCACTGCCATCTCTACACATAATGTTATGAGACATCACTGCGATCTCTACATATAAAGTTATGAGAAATCACTTCGATCCCTACAAATAATGTATGAGATATCACTGCGATCTCTACACATAATGTTATGAGATATCACTGCGATCTCTACACATAATGTTATGAGACATCACTTCGATCATTACAAATAATGTATGAGATATCACTGCGATCTCTACACATAATGTTATGAGATATCACTGCGATCTCTACACATAATGTTATGAGACATCACTTCGATCATTACAACTAATGTATGAGATATCACTGCAATCTCTACACATAATGTTATGAGACATCACTGTGATCTCTACATATAATGTTATGAGACATCTGAGGTTTGTAAGCGCACATCAAAAACAATTCTGAAACCTTTCATCCTTAAATAGTCTTTGGTTGTACCCAAAATAAAGTAGTTAAAGAAACAAATGTCAAGTTGGTTGTAATGTTATAATCCAGAATGCTACATGTTAATAGATTGTATGCATCCCGTCCTTAATCCCTAATCCTTTATTTTATATTTAATTTAAAAAGCTGTCACCGGCACCCCGGGTGGATTGGATTCGTTATCCTTGGATGGCAACGGATCTAAGAGAAAAGGGAAAATTCTGACTCCAACATGGACTCCTGCGACGTCACTTGTGCCGAGCTGTATCATCCAAACATGATGTTTGCATTGATAATAAAGATGCACGGAGTGAGGTGATGAACTGTCTAGGGGACCAGCTTATCCTCCTATAGATAAATCCCAGGCCTTGTCATTTCGTCCTGTGACGTCTACGCCATCGTCACATTGTGACATACGGATGCCCACAAAAACATTTGTGTATAACAGATCTCTTAAATGAGTTGTCTATTCATTATATTGGGGTTAAATGTAAAGCAGAAGTTACCCAAAAATAAGTGACCCCAACATAAAGGATTCAACATATATAAGTGGCCGAAATCTAAGTGCCTATAAAATTAACTGACTCAAATGTAAGGAATCCAAATGTAAGCATCTTTACCGTTTTATAAACATCTGATCGACGCTGGCTAATAGAAATGTAAGCCAAAGCTGTCTCGTTTGGATTAGTGTTGGGGTTTATCTTCAATATTGATATAAGACTAGTTCTGTTTACATGTTTGGGAATGCCATCGCATCGAAGGTGATCGCAGACGATTGTGAAGGGCTCTCCCTCGACCACCGCTGTCTTGTCGACGAGAGGAAGCGCACATTGAACTGAGTAAAGAAACAAAGAGAAGTTGATTTTAAATGAAAATGATATTGATATAAAAGAATGATGAAGTTGATTTTTTTTTAATTAAAGATAATTAGCTGTATTTTACATGTGATCGTAAATTTTTTTCAGGGCCGGGTTCTAAAATTAAGGGCCGCTGGTCAGATACGACCTGCCAGAGGTCCTTAACCTGGCCCGCTAGACTGCCTTACGGGTACTCAGGTAGCAGTGACGAACATGGAATCGGATATATGCCATCACATTAGCCAAAAACAAGGTACCTAATTCTCATTTAAATGTGTTATAACAATGTCAATTTAAATTTTCCATGAGTTTATTGTTTTTTAAGGTACGGTGCGCATAGAAATTATTTCACATAGTATTCAGAACCAAATCAAACTCTAGTCCGTCCCCCGACAGTGTCTGAGCAAACCGGCCAATGATGCTAAAGTTGAAAGCCCAAGGTCTACAGAATCAGCCTGATTATATTTAGAAACTATGGCACAGAAATTAGTATCACCATACCAGGTGAATCTATCGTTACGCAAGTCTTGTGTTATATCAGCAGGTCGTACACAAAGATAAGACTGGTGTTATATAAGCAGGTCGTTCACCAAGGTAATGATTACGGCGTGTAAGCAGGTGTCATGTCAGCAGCTTGTACACCAAGGAAAGACAGGTGGCATCTCATAAGTTTATACACCAAGATAAGAATGGTGTCACGTAAGCACGTCTTACACAAAGATAGGAATTGCGTCGTGTCAGTATGTTGTGTACAGAAATAATACTGGAGTCATGTCAGTAGGTTATACACCAAGATAAGACTAGTGTCAAATCAGTAGTTCGTACACCAAGATAAGTCTGGTGTTACGCATTGGCTTCTATTGTGAGAAATTAATCTCTTGTTTTAAGTTATGACTCGTTTAAACCGTGCACAATAAAGGACGATAACATTGAGAAATACAATAATAAGGATACGACACGCAAAAACTGTTGCCAATTACAATTAATAAAATTTAATTCATTAATAATACAATTACAAAACAAAAGAAATATAATTACAAATCATCAACTTACAGAGTATGTGAAAATCTTGTACCCGTATACAATTATTAGTACAATGTGCCAATTAATAATGATGAATTCGAAATAAACACATATGAGCACACAATGAATAATACACGTCTCGTGAAGTTAAAAATATCTATCAATCTCCGACCGATTCTCGTGCCTGTCAATCCCTTATATATGTGGGTCTACCGACGCGTCTAGAAACACGCTTACTTTTCTAATACACTCGAGAACGTTCCATAATGTAGTAGTAAACACAATGCATCAAAGAGATAAGCCACACCCATCTATGAACGTAGACAACAGCAAGGAACAATAGCAGGATACTTTCTGAGGGAGACTTAAGTCCCAAAACCAATAGGCATTCTCTACAACCAGCCACCCCATAGTACCTTCCATATTCTGATGACATTACACCATTAGGGAAAAGTAGCAAAGACAAATCAAAAGCCTTCATTGCAACAGAAGACGCATTACTACAAGAAGGCCTGGAAGTAAAATACCACAAAAAAAAAAAAATACATGACCTTGATTATGATAACAGACAGACAGATGAAACCAGTAAAATTAGAAACCACGCGTTTGAAAAAAACTAGGGTCTTTATTAAATGAAAGAAATGAATTCATAACATAATTTTTTTTAAAGAATACCGGCCGGAAACAGGGCAAACTTCAATAGAGACAAAATACTCAGGGTAAAAACATGACGAGAAAAACAAAGAAAAACTGTTTTTAAAACTTTAATCAAACCAGTTGTAACGAAAGTAAAACTTGGACTATAATACAAACGGAAGAAAACCCATTAAACATATGGGAGAGAAAATCTATCCGGAAAATATTTGGACCAACAAAGAAAGAATATTAATGCAGAATACGAACCAACAAGAGATGTATAGTCTATGTAAGGATCCCACACATGTAGCAGATATAAAAAAAACAATGCTGGCTACACTGGGCGTGACACTTACAAGGAATGCTAAATGACAGAGGAGTGTTGAGGGTACATCACCAAAACACCAGGGGAAATCGGCTTCAAGGCGGATGTAAGCTTAGATGAAAGGATGGTTTGGGAAAAGATCTACAGCACCTGAGAATCCAAGCATTGAAAAGAAAAGTATTAATTAGCGATGCCCCCCTGTAAAAACGAAAGAAGAAGAAGTTATTCTTTTAATTTAAGAACTTTTACATCTGAAGTGGGAGAGGAATGAAACATTAGAAGATAAGAGCCAGCGTCTGTGTCCCAGTGCCCGTATTTCATATTTATAACAAGTTGCTGGGCGTTGGTCGAGAAACAGGCGATTAACTAGCTCATACGGGCTGACGAAATTGTTTTAAAGCACATAAGCGCAAGCGTGATCTACTCTTCGGTTTCTTACCAGATCTGGAGCAAAATACTAAGTAGAAAAATGTAAATAATTTCATTTTGAAATCACCAGTTCCTGTTTTCCTCCCATAAGGTTGATGTGTTTCAAAACTAAAACGTGTGCTGTCGTGTTCTCACAATTTTATCACTTAGCAATGACGTCATCGTTTTAGGGGAAGGAAACGATGAAGAACTTTTCAATACTAAAATACATGACCAAATATTTTATGGGATAATAATGCGATAAGGTCTTTTGCGATAATTTCTACCTGCTTTTTGCAAAAAACTCACCACAATGCCTCACTTCAAACAGAAGTAGTAAATTAGTGATATGTACGTCTCTAAGATCATTAAGTTTGTATAAGTATTTATCTGTTATATATTACACGCCTACCCTTCTCACTTCCACGCCCTCAAATTACTTCCTTCTCTCAACTTGGCTTAAAATACACAATCTAAATTATAACTCATTATATCACTTTGGAATACTTTAGATTTGCCCCTTGTTCGTGTCCTTGAACTACATCTTTTTTAAATCTAAAAATTGTTTAATTTTACAACAAAACTCTATATATGTGATCTAATTTAAAGATATTTTATATACAAGGAATTTGATCTATTGGTAGCTTCATCAAAGGTGACACCACACTTTTGCCTTGTTTTTTTTTTTTTAAATTATATTTTATCATAAAATCGTAAAAGAAAGAATTCTTTTATCTATAGAAGAATCTTGCAACTGTTTTCCCGACTATAACAGACTTGAGTGTCTTTTTTTTTTAATGGTTAATCTCATAAAAATAAAAAAAAACTTTACTTCTCGATAACTCGAAACAAAAAATATATTTTTCATTTTTTTTTTAAAGAAAATAATTACCCATCTCCGTTTTTCATATTTAAATTTTCAAGTGTGTAAAATGCTTGGGTTTCGATATTCATGGGTATATTTATATAAATGTACCCAAGTTTTGTTAACGACATTTTCTTCATTGGTAAACTCAGATAAAAAGAGAATGAAAGATCTCTCTTTTCACCAATGTAATATCATAGGATTTAAATACATTGTCATCCACTTAAAAATGTACACATCCTTAGTCCTATTTGAAACCCCCGATATGTATGTACCCGAGAAGGTTAATTATTTTTCTTTAATTCATTCCTTTATTTTGAGACGTATCTTGCGCTGCCTAGGTCACAATGACCAACCCCCCCCCCCACACACACACACACTCAATTTAAATAAAATTAATAAAATCTTCCTACCCCCTATTTGTATTTACCCGAGAAGGTTAATTATTTTTCTTTATTTCATTCCTTTATTTTGAGACGTATCTTGCGCCGCCTAGGTCACAATGACCAACCCCCCCCCCCCCACACACACACACACTCAATTTAAATAAAATTAATAAAATCTTCCAACGGATTGTAATAATTTCCATACACAAACTGACGTCATAATTTGCACTTCGTGCGGTTTGTTCTTATTTGGATGAGTTATTATAAGTGGATTACTTTGTACTCTTTAATAAAGTACGATAACTCAGGGTGATATTCATGACAAATGAAGTCATAGCATCAGATGAACTTTGATGGTTGGATAATAAGGAAACAACCCTAAGAAGAACTACTTGTAAATTATTTGAATGAAAACACATGGATCAACACAATCCCTCGCACACAAATTAATGTAAAACAAACCTAACCAAACAGAGTGTACACCATCAAAACAAATGAATGGAAATGTCATGACACTGTCTTGCACTGATCACTTGCTTCCCACAGAATCCGACGATCACACTTGAAAATAAAATGCTTGTTGTTCAAAATATTCAACAAAAAAAAAAAAAAAATTACAAGTGATGTTTCACTTAAACTCGATCCCTACCATAAGGGATACAATGGTAATGAACAGCCAGTAGGCCCAACTGATAAAAGCATGGAAATAAAGTCCCCCCCCCCCCCCCGTTTTTCACCCGTATGGCACACTTGTCCTTTGGATTTAACTCGCGAGAACCCAGTATGCATTGCACTGCCTCACAAAGAAAGATAGTGTTTGTGTTTTGTAAATTTATATTAATATAGACATATTTTTTGTCTGGTGCATACACAAAGAAATTAAAATATTTTTCAACGCGTGAGTAGGCCATATGCAGCTGTTTATATGGCAAGAGTGGATTTTCAAAATTTAGTCAATACACTGGTAGCAATTGATCCACCCATGCATTAGCTCTGTTAAAAATTATATTTCTATAGCTCATACACGACACAAATAATTTCAGGCCCCCGGCCCCAAAAAGAAAATTGAAAAACTATTGTACAAATTTAGAAACATTTGTGGACATGCCCACAACGACTCGACAAAGTTTTTTCCGAAATTGGAGGAATTGTATTGGAACGCGTATGGAAACTATATTTCTAGAGCTCATAACAGAAAAAAAGCGAGTTTCGGCCCCCAGTCACTAAACGGAATATTGTAAAATAATTGCACTAATATTAAAATGTACTTATTACGTCAAACACAAACTGAAATGTCGTATTTTTTGTATGTTATTTTCTTTCCATAGACCAATGCAGTAGTTTTGTTCGAAATGATATTGATATACGTCATGTAAGAAACACAAATAACTGGGTCCCCAGCCCAAAACGGAAAAAAAAAAAAATCGAGGAAACCAAAGAGACCTCAAAGGCAAACCTTCGCCAACTCCTAGTAGTTCCCAGGAGGCCACTGGGGCCGCCACCCACGAAGGCGTAAGACATCACACGTTAAATGTAATACTCCCCGAAAGATTGCCAGTGTGAAGTATTATTGAACAAACATCATTATTTTGAATTGTGTCCATTTATCAAGTTAGAGAAGTTATTAATTTTACAGAATACATATAAGTCCTTCGAAATTGACACCTAAACGTGAATATTTAAATGGCGATTAAAATCAGATCAAGTTTCCAGATTTTTCTTTCTTTAATTTTGTTGAGCGTGACTTCATTTTTTTAAATTTTTTTTTTGGGGGGGTGGGGGGGGGGTCAAATAACACTTGTTCGCCTTCAAAGTAACATTTTTAGTACAAGTTCAATGCATCTTTCCATTCACCTCCACCTACACCATTCCCAAACACCCTCAAATAGAAGAAAGAAACGTCTGCTGACTTAGGCCATTACTATAATGCTTTTTTTATTTGTTTATTTTTTGTGTTTGTTTTTTATTTGGGGGCGGGACGCCTTTAAAAAAACAACATTTATCAAATAATTTGTTGGTGTCTGTTTGCACTTTAAATGATTCTGGCGCATGCGCGAAGAAACAATCTTATGTGGTTGTGTGTCGTTTTGGTTTAAATACCTTTGTGATTGTACGAACATTTATATAATTTAGTATATAATTTGTATATGTATATATGTATTTGCACCAAATGCGAATATGGGGGGGGGTGGTTATGTGTATATGGTTTATTGTTTATTTAAGTTTGGTTGTGTATGTATGCTGTGTGTGTTAATTGATTTTTGGTTGTGATTTTTTTTTTTTTTAAAACACACATCTGATTATATTGCTATGTCTTTTGAATAACTTCAAAACTAGTCAATAGTTGATGTGACATTGAGTGGGAATGATCTACAGGTATAAAAAAAAACTATAGCAATTTATATAAAGAATTTAAACTCATGAGTGTTGAGTTCACATATTCTATTTTTCTCGTTTAACATTTTTTCAATGCTTCTGTTTGAAAAAAACGGAAAACGTCCGGTTTCATGACTAAACCTTGAAACATCTTCAATACCTTCACCCTTTTCTTTTGGCGATAATCTAGTTATTTACTATCAGAGACAAGCATACAATTATAATTTAAAGATATTACATCAATTTTCCATTTCTAGTTTCAATCGTCCCTCTAATGATTTTACCCCTTTGAAATAAATAAAATATATATTAGTTTATAAATAGATTGCTTTTTAATAAAATGTCAATATCAAAATATTGCATTAGCTTTTCAATTGACTGCATGGATTATTTGTTATGGAATTCTTTGCCACTACACATACGCAATATACCAACCACCCAGGCCTTCAAAACTGCACTACATACAGGGAACATACCTTATTGATTGGTTATGTATGTTTACCCCAAAGCTAATGCTATATTTTCTGTACAATTGCAGCTAATGCTAGACTCTATATTTTCTGTACAATTGCAGCTAATGCTAGACTCTATATTTTCTGTACAATTGCAGCTAATGCTAGACTCTATATTTTCTGTACAATTGCAGCTAATGCTAGACTCTATATTTTCTGTACAATTGCAGCTAATGCTAGACTCTATATTTTCTGTACAATTGCAGCTAATGCTAGACTCTATATTTTCTGTACAATTGCAGCTAATGCTAGACTCTATATTTTCTGTACAATTGCAGCTAATGCTAGACTCTATATTTTCTGTACAATTGCAGCTAATGCTAGACTCTATATTTTCTGTACAATTGCAGCTAATGCTAGACTCTATATTTTCTGTACAATTGCAGCTAATGCTAGACTCTATATTTTCTGTACAATTGCAGCTAATGCTATATTTTCTGTACAATTGCAGCTAATGCTAGACTCTATATTTTCTGTACAATTGCAGCTAATGCTATATTTTCTGTACAATTGCAGCTAATGCTATATTTTCTGTACAATTGCAGCTAATGCTAGACTCTATATTTTCTGTACAATTGCAGCTAATGCTATATTTTCTGTACAATTGCAGCTAATGCTTGAGTTGTCATTCAATCATTCCTGGCACAAACAAGCACCTGTGCTGCGAGCGTTCTCTCACGTATACAATGTTTGAACACCGGAGAAATCGCAGCGGAAAGTAATCACCCTGACTCTGAGAGATATTTTGATTGTTCAGTGTAACATTGATCTAACGCATTGGTTCTCAACCTTCCTAATGCCGCGACCCCGTAATACATTTCCTCGTGTTGTGGCGACCCCCCCCCCCAGCCACAACATTATTTTCGTTGCTACTTCATAGCTGTAGAGCATATGTGCTTCAGGTGGACTTAGGCGAACCCTGAGGAAGGGTCGTGCGACCCCCCAAAAGGGTCGCGACCCACAGGTTGAGAACCGCTGATCTAACGTGTACTTAATTTTATGACATATCAGCTTCTTGAGAATCCAAATTTGTTAAAAGCTGTTCACGAGGCTGCAAAATGTTCACAATAGTTTGTAACTAAATGGTGTACGGAAGGATGGGATCATTAACAATACCTTCTGTTGTTTTGTACACCACCCCACCCCCACCCCACCCCCACCCCCAACTGTTTACCTCTGGTTGCTGTGAGCTTTTTTGTCTGTACTTGGCATCCAGAAAAATCTGGTAAGTTTAGCCAATGCCAAATTAATGTGGAGCGTCTCTTCAAGCTAGATTTTCCAACGTGGGTGATGCAGCCAATCTCAAATATGCAATATCAAGAAGAAATCGCAGGAATGAACACTTATGAGTCTGTTAAAGCGTTATTTAATATAAAAAGGAGCGATGGCATGGCTTTGAGAGGAAGCATAAATCAAATATCCAAAATCGACCAAATGTGCAAAGCCGCTATTGTTACTGTTACCGCTTCCATCTTCATATTTAGCTGAATGGGGATTTTAGTGTCATTAGTGGTTTAGTAGTTTAAAAAAAAAAAAAATCGGCTGGATATAACACAGCGGGGAGACTTGAGACTGAAGCTATCTAAATTGGAGCGTACCAGAATATATATGTGCAGCAAGCATCAAGCACAAGTTTCTCACTTCACTAAATTAGTCATCTCACACACTGTAGTTGCGATCTCTCGCTGTATAGTAAAAATTTTACTAAAATCTTTCATTTTGTACTTGACTTTCAGTGGTCCATTTTGTTTTGAAATTTTACCTACTTTACTTCCTGTAAGATTTCTTCGTAAAACTTAAAACCTATTCATTATTCATTCCTGAAGAAGTTTTCCTTCTTACTAAAACCTATTATGATTTAGTTTTCATTCAATGAATAATTCCATTTTTGAATATTAAAAATTATGTATATAATTAGGCGACACAAGGCGCATACGAAATTTTAAAATTAAAAGTCTTAGGTGGGGCATGACACAAAAAAGGTTCGGAAACATAGCTGTAGAGTGTAGAGTTAGAGGCCTGTTGACGTTGATGATTGATCTTTAAAGATGGACTTAACAATAACAAAGTGATGTTAATGTAATGTGACACTCTGGTTGACAGTGTTGACTGTTTTTGAGTAACTGTTGGTGTGACTGTTGGTTTGGCTGTTGGTGTTTTGGAGGGGCCCCAGGTGAGATAAGCCGCCAATGACCATTATTTTATCTATCTCTAATTTCGTTAGATATACCAGCTAAGCTAATATCATTACGTAGTCTTGATCTCAAAAGAATGGGGGAAACTTAAAGCAACAAAAATTTCCGTTGGCCAAATTTCATTATGCGTCATACAAGACGTTGGCCTGAGTAAGTTTCGGATTTTCCCGCAAATTGCATTTCGGATTTTACCGCTCCAAAATAAATCATATATGAAATTTCCCAAGAGTTTCATTCTGTGAAATTTACAAAATTACATGTCAATCACTACAACGCAACAAGATACAGCTCTTTTTGTCTTTTTCTGTTGTTTATGATTTATGAACCATTTGGTAATGTATCCATCCTTCACAAAATTCATTATTGTATACTAATTAGGCTACCTATCATTTATTGATTTATGCTCACGCCTCTGCCTCTACACTCTAACTTACTTAAACTTAAATTTATTTAACATTTTAAAATTTAATTATAATGTACTCGTCATTACTCATACTCATACTATCATACTCATACTACTAATACTAGGCTTAGACTAAGGCAACAATGTAGGCCAAAGTGTAAGTAAGTAGGCCGCCTGCACTGCAAGTATGCAAGTGCAACACACCGTTGACGTTGTCCACAGTCACACTCACAACTAGCCTACACACTAACACTAAGTTAGTTTAGTTTAAGAGTTGACAGTCAATTAACAATTTAACACTAACAGTGACTCACGTCACACTCACACACCCGGGTCCGAATGGTGGCGATGCGTGTCCGGATCCATTTTGTCTAAATCAACTAAATGCTATTCGGATGTCATTTGTGGTAGTTTATTTTAGTTAAACTGAAGATTTAAGTTTAAAAACATATAGATCTAGTTTTTCATTTGTTTAACTTTTTTTTTTAATGTGACGCTCTTGGTTTGGTCAGTGGTGGAGTTTTCTGAGATTTGTGAGGGGGGGGGGGGGGGGGGGGGGTAAATATTTCCCAAAAATAATGTATGTACTAATGTATGTAAATATATATGTACTATATAAATATTATATTTGTTTGTCTTTTTGTTCTACTAAAAAAATTGAGACAAAATTATTTTACAAATTGAACAATCTCTTAGTTACTTAAATTCCAATGTAGGCCCATTTGAATTTATGAATGAAAATCTGACACCTTAATTAATAACACTTATTATTTATGTGTTCTTATTAACTTATAAGCTTAATTTAATCATTTTTAAAATCTGATGCTTTTCTTGCATAACATTTGCTGTGATCTCTAGGCCTACATCTATTCTCATATTTGGTTTTCAGATCACTTTGTGAGTTGTAGAACTTTATGACATAAGTTCCAAAGCAACCGAGCCACATCAAAATGGATTTTGGCTCTGATTTAATTTTTCTAGATGAAGGGAATGAGGTGGAGGAGGAGGAACAGCAAGAGTCAGAGGAGGAGGAAGAAAGAATCTATGGTAAATATTACAATATCTACAGTTGATCACACAGATAAGATATTTAAAACCTAATGAATTTTCTTTTACTGCACATACATTTTTTATCATTAATGATAGTAGCTTTTTAAAGATAGAAGAATATAAGAATTTAATGACAGCAAGATTTAAAATACAATGAGTATGCTAATTATACGGTTACAATAAACATACACCAAAAGAAAAATAAAGAAACGATAAAGTAATATATGTTAACATCTAACATTTCACAGCATCTATTTATAATTATGTGTTTACAGCTAACATTTCAAAGAAGCCATCTATGATTATGTGTTAACATCTAACATTTCGCAGAAGCTAACTATGATTATGTGTTAACATCTAACATTTCACAGAAGCTAAAAATGACTATGGCCCATCACATGGTGTATTCGTTGCTGGGTTTGAGTGTGAGATTATGGAATATGATGAGAGTGGAACGGAAACACCAGTCACATTTGCTGGAACAGAGGTGAGAGACAGTTAATGCAATAAAGTTGAGAATAGTTTGTTGGGGGGTTTTTTTGTTGTTTTTTTATCTTTATTACAACTTCCAAGAAATATTTTTCATACAAGATTTGAATTTTTCCGTACTTACAGAGGGCACAAGTCAGTGAACTCAAACTTTCAAATATAAATATATCACCACTAATTTGGGGCAAACTAACAAAAATATATATTTAACTTATGTAATCAAAGTAAGCCTGATAAGATATATTTTAATCAAATAGCATAAAATAATTACCCTGTACACAAAATTACTATCAAAGGCAAAAACTTTATTCGACTCATTTGAATTAATTTTCACAACCTATAACATATTTTTAAAATGTATTTTGTTAATTTAACTATTCAAAAAAAACGAAATATTATGTCCCTAGCTAGAAATAATGTTCTGATAAATTGTGTTTTCGTGACAAGTGAAATGAAGGGATATAAAACTCAAATCTGTTAAAAAGAGCAAACAAAAGAGGGCTGTGTAGTATGTAAAATAAATAGATATTAAATAAGTTTAAAAAATAATGTACATTTCAATAAATTAAAGGTTGTCAAAACAGCATAGACCATTATGTTTGGACTAATTTATCATAAATTAGAATGAGTTAGTATTTCTTAATGGAATGTTTCGTGTCTCATTTCAGGAGAAAAAGCTTCCGAAGAAAAAGAACATCAACACCAACACCATTAGCCTGACCATGTCTTCACTCAGGGAGCCCCCAGAACAAGTGCGCTGCCTGTCCGAGATGATAAAGTGTGATAATCCACGGTGTGAGGCTGTCTTCTCTGATGTTGACAAGTGTGATGATGACATGGTGAATAGCTTTTAATTCAGTTTCTTGTTCTGCTCAACAATTCTGAAGAGCAGGTTGAAAAGGGTTAATTTTTATTTTATATTATTGTGATGGGAGTGAAGAATGATTTCAAAAATTTGTGGGGGAGTGGGGGGGGGGGTTGCTTTTGAAATTTTTCTAAAAATTTAGAAATTTTAAAATATTCATCTTAATGAAATCAATGTAATGAAATATTGCTATGAAAATAATTAATTTTGATCTTACATACTCTTCAGAGCATGATTATGTTCCACAAACAACTATTCGTTTCATTTAGGACTATGGACGCCAATATGGTATTTATTTTTATAACATTTTGTTTATTTCTCATGACCAGGAGTGGAATTGTAGGTTCTGTGGGATGAGGAACAGACCATGCAAACGTCCATTGATAAATACTCAAGATGTTTTGTATGTTAATGACTTAGAGAAAAAACCCAACATGGATCAAGTCAAGGAAGATCACAAAATTATTTTTGTTGTTGACACATCAGGCAGCATGGGACGCACAATGACGGTGAATATATTAGTCCACCATTTGCATTAATCCCAGAATACTGATTTGATTATGAAGAGAATGTTAATGAGGTTGGCATTTATTTTTTTTACAGCAGGTCCATTAAAAGTCCATGATTTTATGATCAAGCTATTTCCATCTTTGACACCTCTCTCACAAGTTTGTGTTCTTATTGTGTCAGGTTCAAAGGAAAAGTGAGATCTTGAAAGAAATTGTTGCCAAAGAGCTGGAGGACTACCACAAAATGATGCAGCAGTATGGAGTCCAGATAGATCCCAACCAACAAACCAATGAGGTTTCCTGGCTGCAGGCAGTGAAGGCAGCTATCATTGAGCAGATGCTGCTCCTGAAAGAAAACCATCCACACCGATTTGTTGGACTCATTACCTTCAGTGATGTCGTGAGTTGTTTTTGTAACTGAAATGTAGAGTGTGGTCTACAGATTTATGCCCTAGGTATACAATTTTTTTAAAATTTCCTTAAAAATGTTGAAAATAGAAAAATAATGCCCCATTGAAAATGAAAAAAAAATTTTTTTAAATATCACTAGAAATAATGTGAATAAAAGTTGTATTTAAATTAGAATTTCAATCCCCTAGACCAAGTATGACTGACAAATTGGTTTAGTTCAAAAATGTTTGAAAGTCAAACCTGGAACAAAGGTTTTATAATTATGCCTACAATTTAGATTATTAAATGCAAACCTATGGGTTAATATTTTCTAAATATACTGCTTTATTTAAAAGAATGGCTAGTTTATAAAAAGGCTAAATCATACTGCATAGGAATAACCAGAACACTTAAGGTACATGTGTTGCTTTTTTTTTTTTTTTTTTTATTTAATGAAATTATTAACAATTAGGTGAGTAGGATTGTGTTCATTTCAAATGAATAAAAAAAGAACAATTATTATTAAATTAACAAGTTATTTTGAATACATAGGTCACAATTCACGGTGATGCTTGGAGTTTGCCAATCCATTTGGAAGGCGGACAACTTCAGGATTACCCAGAACTCTTGAGGCTTGGTCAACAACATGGGCAACTAAGCCCTATCAGCGCCTGTTGCAGAAATATTGAAGAACGGATTAGATTGTTAGTTTTAAAATTATTGTCTCTAATTTATTTTGGTTGTTTAAAAAGTATATATTTGATGTGTATATTTTATTTTATTTTTTTTGGACCAGGCTAAAGGTGATAGGAATGCCAACATTAAAGTAACGTGGGGTTGGGGGGGGGGGGGGGGGGGGTTTGTTGAAGAATAAAATATTGGGATTACTTGCTTGAATAAAAATAAAAAATAAAAAATTTAAAAAAATTAATTTTTTTAAATAAAAATCTTTCGATTTTTTAGTCTCTTATTTGTATTTTATATTATAATTACATCATATCATCATTATCATAATAATAATCATCATCATTATCATCACATATAAATTATCATAATTTTACTTCAAACTGGGGAGAATCCAAAAATAATTTAGAATTCCAAACTACAATAAAAAAAAATTACTTTATCCTCCTTTAAAGAGTTACTTCTAATTCTCTCATTGGCCAATTTGGCATAGTTTTTATATCAATCTCTTTCCTAGACTAAATGCTGATGGTCAGACAGCCCTGGGACCAGCTTTGGTGGTGGCTCAGGGAATGGCTAGTGATTCAAAGGGCTCTAAGATCATTGTCTGCACTGATGGTATTGCAAATATAGGCATAGGTAACCTGGAGAATGCCTCAGCTGACAGTGACAAGTTCTATGAGAATATTATCAGCAAAGGCAAATCCTGGGGGTAAGTCACAAAGTTGCCCTACGTGAACATGGTAGTCAATGGTATGAAACACAATGTTGTAATAAGTGAACATAGAGGTCCAATGGGAGTAAATGGGAGCAATTAATTTACAACTGCTGAAAGGCAGGCCTACATGAGACATTTAAAAAACTGATGAATTACATAATTCATAAATACTGAGAGGTAGGCCTACATAGGAAATTTAGAAACTGGTGAATGTCCTACTTCATAGATACTGAGAGGTAGGCCTACATAGGACATTGAGAAACTGATGGATCTCATGAGTCAGGTTAAAGCAATTTTTAATATAGGATACTAAGGCTAGAAAAAAAAGAAAAAACTTTTCTGTAGTGCTATAATAGCTGTAAGCTGTATTTACTTGCCTAGTAGTTTACTGCTATTGAGTTATAATGGGCTTAATATAATATAATCAGCAATTACATTAATTTGATTTTTGTTACTGTGCTATCTAAATTCAAAGCTGTAGCTATCACTATTTTTTTTTAAAGTTTTGTAAACATTTTATTTTACATTTTCAACTCAGTCTGTCAATGTCAGTCCTGTCCTTTGACAACTGTCAACTGTCCAAGCTGGGTAAAGTGGCAGAAGAAACAGGAGGAATTGTAAGTGCAGACCATAGTTTTATTAAAATATTTTATGTTCATGTAGGTGTATATAGCACCAATGGTGTCAACTTTTTTTCTTTTTTTTTAAAAAAAAGAAGTTTTTGATTTTGAGCCGGCAATTGAAATTGAAAGAAAAAATGTAGATACTTAGCAGAAGAAATGCATGTTTCAAATTTAAAAAAAAAAAAAAAAATTTAAGTTACTTTTTTTTTTTTTTTTAAAAAAAAGAAGTTTTTGATTTTGAGCCGGCAATTAAAATTGAAAAAAAAAATGTAGATACTTAGCAAAAGAAATGCATGTTTCAAATTTAAAAAAAAAAAAAAAAATTACAGTTACTTCATGTAGGATATATATAGAAATTGCAATGAATGTTTGTATTCCCATTTTCCATAAATTTAGTATCTCAGTTATAAAAGCTAAATAAAATTAGTATCTACATAACTACTTGGTCTTCGGTGCCGTCTGATTTTGTGGACCTACCTGGGCACTTCCTAGGGGCCCCAAATGTTTGTCATATGAATACTTAAATTCCTAGTTGAGGAGGGAATGTGGGTACCTGTGCATTAAATTGCCTTGGTGCTGTTGGTGTTATCCATTTTGAATTCAGAAAGGGCATCATTTCTATTTAAGACAAAGTTTCGTATTATTTAAAAGAACAATACTAGTATTTTTTTTAACTCATTGGAAGTGCCAGACTGATGAGAAAGTCAAAATGTTTTGTTCTGTCATTTTAAAATAGGTGGACCTGATTAAGCCCACAGAGTTGGGGGGACGCCTACAAAGTGAGTTGAACAGAACCACCATTGCCACCAACGCCTTCATAAAATTTGTTGTTCACAAAAGCATGTAAGAGGCCATGTTTTGTTGTTTTTTTATTTATTTGTTGACATTTTTAATAATTTTAGCAGATGTAAAGTGGCAAATAACTAATTTTTTGTCTTAAATTGTGTCTGAAAATATTCTGAGAAATTTATTGTAAAAATATTACAATAACAAATGTAATTTTTACGTTTTTTTAAAACAAAATTGTTAGCAGCTCAATCACATATGATTTGTTTTCTGTTGCTGTTTAACAATAAATCACGAACCATTTCCTAAATAAATAGTGGATCAAGATATGTTTAGGAAAGATAATTGTCTTGTCTTTTATTTTCATTAGCTGGATGTTTCAGCGAGATGCCTTCATCAGCTTAATTGTTGTATTTACTGTTTATTTACGTTACCTGGGTTGAAGTTTGAAGTTGAAAGCAATCACTTAGATATTAACCATTTCCTGTTTCCTAATTTTAGAAAATTTCTGAACATTTATTTAAGTTTTATAAAATAACAATTTGCACAATCCAATTCTGCTGCCATCTAGGTATTGGATCATATTGTGATCAAACTGTTGACATTAGGAAATAGCAAGCACATAGCTCATTGTTATGTTTATTATCTTCTTTGCTTTTTTATGATTCCCTGTGGTTCCTATATCCTGGTCCAGAAATTGACACAGATGCCTTTTTTTAATAGAAATTATTATCAGCAGATTATATCTTAAATTTGGCAGCTTCATCTGTAAATATTAAAACTTTTGTTGAATTTGTGACTTTCTTTCTACTTTAGGTACATCCAAGTCGTCAATGAAAATGAGAAAGAAAGCACATACATGCACCAAATTGGTAACATACAGATGGACAAGAAAATTCCCTTCTGTTTTGCGTCTCGTTTAAGCAACCCCTCAAATCAAATAAACCAAGTGCCAGACCAGCAACTTCAGTTACCCCAACAGAAACACCATCATCAGCAGCCACCTCAGAATTACCTGAATGTGTCAGGTGCGCCTATTATGATTATAACAGGTGATCAGAATGTGTGTCCAATGCATGGAATCATCAATCGGCCTGGACGTAACCACTCACCCCTAACCATCACAGAGTTGCCACCTGATTCAAACGACAGTGCAACAGGCCCCTTGCCGATCACAGGTCCAAAGCAGACTGATGATGGCAAGTCACAGATAGCATTGATGAACCAAGGCAGGGCCAATAAATCTGCTGACACTCAAGAACGTGATCATTTACTTGGTGAAATGCCTCTGGGGGGTGTTCAAAATTTAGGTAGATAAGAAGCCTTTAGATTACTTTACATTTATTTACTTTTGAGCTCAGGGGGAGGAATCGGTAACCAACTGGCACTTTATGGGTTTATAAACAGCATCATATAAATTATAAATGGCATTTAGTCAAGGTATGCCACCGCCTGAATATGTTAGTGCTACGTGGATAAAGTTGGCTATTAGTCCACAAGGCTTCAGTCGTCACTCACCTCAGCCAGTGTGATTTTCATTTTAAATTCATTTTAAGTCTTTCAACTTTATTTTCTGAACCTTTATCAAGACCCATGCATGCATCGGACACACATTCTGATCACAACCCATGAAATAATTTCTCCGTCCGCCCACCACTCCCCTCGCCTGTTGAAATATTTTTCACCTTTATGGACACAATCTTCTTCTCTGCGTCATCTTGGTTCTTCAACACATAAGCTTACTTGTAATAATCACCTATCCAAGTTGAGAACTCTCTTGTCAGCTCAATACAAAGGTCAACAAGATCTTAGAAAATTATTATACTAAAATATTGGAGGTCGTGTTCTTTCTGTTATCATTCAGCAGGGTGTTGAGTATTGTTTTATTGTTGGGTTGGGGATACTTTTATAGCAATTTTAAGTTTCAGGATAAGGGTTTATTTTAGTGATGTTGAAAGTGAGCTTCAGTTAGAAGGAATATGAGAATTTCTTTAAGTGTGATTTTGCATTTTATTGTTTTACTTAGCCTAAAATTTCTTCCAATGAAATCTTTAAACTTTGCCTGTTGTTTTGAATTTGGGGAATGATTTTTTTTTAAATTTCAATCTAAATCAAGGAGCAAATAATTTCGGAAACAGAGATGAGAAATCAAATGAACCTGCACCATCCACTAGCAGTGACCAAACCTCGGTAAAATCATGTGATGAGCCCATACCGTCAACATCCTCAGACAATGTCCAAGCTGCTGCCTCCTCCCCACCCATGGACACAAATGAACTCAATGGGTTCCCATTCCAAGTGCAGATTTATTACCAAGACATGAATGGTAAAATTTCAGACATAAATAAAAAAATATTTTTATAAAAGTTGTTTTTCTTCTTATTTCTTAACTAAATATATCTTTTTTTTTTTTTTTAAATTTTTGACAAAGTCCTCCATATTAAATAGTTTCATTTTTTTTCTTTTTTTCAGTTATTTTTTTTCATTTTTTTTCTTTTCTTCAGTTATATTTTTTCAATGAACTAAAATCCTTGACTCATATGGACTGAGTGTTGGGGGGGGGGGTAATGTCCTTTGCACATATAGAAAAGATAATTAAGGTCATATCTTCTAGGAAAATACCTGTTATTAAATTCAAGTTTCCATCAATATTTGTGTCAATTTAAAACTGAAGCAATTTTTTCCCCCCTTGTTCCAGGTGTGGAAGCCTGGAGGGTGTGGACTAAAGTCAAGCCTGTCACCAACAACAGAAAAGAGGCAGAAGCTTGTAAGTAGATTGAAAAAAAACGATGAGCGTGTGAGACTTTATGTCCAAGTGTCTCATTCACTGATTACCGTGTGAGACTTTATGTCCAAGTGTCTCATTCACTGATTACCGTATAGAGACTTTTGTTTTCACCTGGGAAGATACAGGAGCAAAAATGCTACCATTGATTTTTTAAATTTACTAGTAGCATTACTAGCAAATCAAAATGATTCAATGTGCTTGAGTACTTCAATTTTATGTAATTATTGTAATATAATTGGTTGTATCCTAGACTGTTCAGGGTATGGAACAGACCACCATTTTAGTGCAATCATTTGAACATGAAATACATAATCTATCTATATATGCATATATGTAGCATATGAAAAGAGTTATTTCCACATTTATGCAGTGGAACCATGCATTCTTACTTTACTCATTGGGGCCACCATCCATTCTTATTGTACTCATTGCAGCCACCATCCATTCTTACTTTACTCATTGCAGCCACCATCCATTCTTGTTGTACTCATTGCAGCCACCATCCATTCTTATTGTACTCATTGCAGCCACCATCCATTCTTGTTGTACTCATTGCAGCCACCATCCATTCTTATTGTACTCATTGCAGCCACCATCCATTCTTACTTTACTCATTGGGGCCACCATCCATTCTTACTTTACTCATTGCAGCCACCATGCATTCTTATTGTACTCATTGCAGACACCATGCATTCTTATTGTACTCATTGCAGCCACCATGCATTCTTATTGTACTCATTGCGACCACCATGCATTCTTACTTTACTCATTGCAGCCATCAACTATGACATAACAACAACAAGCTTCATTCAAAACTCGGCCAAACTGTTGCTCAGCCTGCATGAGCATCATAAACTCACCGATCTCAAAGTGGAAGCTGGCAAAATCACAGACCAGATCCGATCTATGACATCACAGAAAAAGTAAGTCTGGCAGCTGATAGCCATCGTGGCATCACATCTGGTCAATGCTGCTTGCATGTTGTGATGGATCCAGAGTTAATAAGGAGCTAGTATTTATTTCAGTAGCATCATAAGAAGACCTAAGTTGTTGGAAGGAAATACTTCACATATTTTCTTAACTCAATTGAAAATGATTTTAAAAATATCTATTTACATGCTCCATATTAACAGAATGTGAGAATCCATTTATATTTTTTACATGCTCCATAGTAACCGCATGTAAAAATGCATTTATATTTATTTACTTGTTCCATTGTAACAAAATGTGAGAATCCAGTTATGTTTATTATTTCAATTTCATGGTTAGCTTTTCATTGAAAATTATTTGATGTTCCAACCTGACGTTTTTGACAAGGTGAAGGCTCAATGATTTAAATATAATTTTCTGTTAACATCTCTGATCAGTGATCCTCAAATTGTTGAAGACAGGTTTCAATGATCCAAACAGATCGATATCACAATTTGAAATTATTCCATATCAATTTGTTTAAAACTATTAATATGTTGTAATTGTTTGTCATTTCTTTTAATTGGTTTTATAAAAGTGAATTGCCCTAAGGTGTGATGTCACAAGGCTTTCCGCTTATTTAATGTTTTAGTCTTTATATATAAAAAAACAAAATATATTTTTTTTTAAATTCAATAAACATAGGGTTCTTGATTCTTTTACCCAACCTAAAAATATTTTTTTTATTAAAAAATTATCACTGAAGTGAAAATATTAGGGGGTCAACCATAAATGACATCACAAATCTTTCACAAATTTTAGACACCTTAACAATACATCATCACAAAGTCGTGCCCCCCTCCCCCCTTTGGAAGTGTGAATTTATACATTAATTTTTTTTTCGCTAATGCCATTGTAAATTTTTACATTAAAATAACTTTTTACTTTTTAATGCAGTCTAAATGCAACATGCCATGTTATATTATTTCAGAAACATGGACAACAACTTGTATAGAAAACTATCAGAATTTTCAGATTTGGCCAGTGAGGTTAGTTGTAAACTTGGTTAATGTCTCTGTTTGTCATGGGGGGGGGGGGGTTGGCATCCTCATTCCATAATCTATTAATATGAGAGTCGTCGTCCCCCCAACACCCCCCCCCCCCCCCCCCCCCCCCCAACAAAACAATAGTTACAATCTGTTATGTGCAGCAAAGTTCGATTCCTATAAAAAATAAATGTATTGCTGCAGGGGAGAGCACTACCTTTTTGTCTGGTGTACAGCTTTTACATAAAACTAGATTGTGGTTTGTCTTTTTTTTATGTTAAGCAATTTAAGTTATAAAATGTATTTAATAAGTTAACAGTTTATTATTCTAACAAAATTTACCTTGTTTTTACTCTCATTAGTTTCACTGGCAATGTTTTAAGCTTAAAATCTTAAGATTTTAAAGCACTTGTTATGAATAAGATATGAAGCAATGGTTTAAAATATGTCTGTGTATTAATCTTAGTGTTAGAGGATTTCTTAAAAGTAGGCTTAAATTTTAACATTGGTCTGGCTTATATCTATCAATTTGATTGTTTGGTTATTTAGGTATTTGGATTTAATTTTCTTTTTCATAATGCAAAGTGTAGAATTAGAAAAGAGTTAGTAGTAAAACAGTCATTTCGTTAAAATTACATAATTTATTATTATTTTTCTTGAGCAGATTGCCAATTCAAGAAATGGGATCATCACTGAGGAAACTGTCTCAAAGCTCTTCAAAGTGCAAGCTCTCAGGGATGTCCGTGGCTAACTGTCCTTGATTGGTGTTCCAGCAGAAAGCATACTTTTAATTTTTTTTCAGTTTGTTATAAAGTCATGTCAACCTAAAAGATGAAAGGGAGTTTTAAAGGTGTAGCGTTTCAATATATAAATACCAAAAAAAAAAAATAATAATAATCAGGACTCAGTATCTTTTTACCAAAGTGAACAGATAAGCTATTTAACGTGGTGTTAGTACTATACGGTCACAGACAGAACTGTGTAATTATGGTAAATTACATATTCATTTTAAAGGTTTTTATCTCACATTGTAAATGTATAAAACTTTGTTTGATTTTTTATATATATTCTGCCTTGTTATTATTTTTATTTGATACATATCTTTCATATCTGTAAGTGTAAAAAGTTTTTTTATTTTGCAATGTAATTACCTTTTCTTTGTAACTTGATATTAAGTAACATGGTAAAGAAATCCAGACAACATATTTAATATGAAAGTTATGTGACGAATGTTTTTAATTTTATTAATTAATTTTTATTTTACAGAAAACTTGATGTCATTATCTTTTGTGAATGTATTTTAAATTCATCAGCTTTGTAAAAAATTAAAACAAACTTTTATATTCTTTTCCTACATGAAGGGTTAACATCACTCACGCCATCCACATGTTGCAAGTAAGGGAAATAACAAAATATTTGCAAAAAGATATTTCCTTTAATTGAATAAATTCTCCTTAATTAAAAGAAAAAATTTTGCCCTAAAAAATTTGCTTGAGGCTGTTGGTTTTTAGTCAGACTTAAACTAAATCATTTCTCTGTGCATAAATTCTGAAGTTGTTCAGATCACTTGCAACAAGTAAATAGTGAGTTTTCTTTAATATTAGCTTAAAAACACTTAATTGGTGTACATACTTACATGTTTATTGAAAACACTTATTTAATAGATATTATCATCATCATGTCCCTTAGTCCTTGGACCGTTGGGGCGCCACAGATGACATGTGAACTATCCTCCTCCATTCGTCTCTGTCTTCTGCACAACGCACAGCATCGCCCAGTGTTAGTTCTGTCCACTCTTTGATGTTATCCTCCCATCTTTTTCTTTGTCTTCCACTTCTTCCCCCTCCTCTTGTGGTGCCCGGCAATATTTCTTTGGCAAGCCCTCGTTTCCTTGTTACGTGGCCGTACCATTGTAGTTTGCGTTTTTTCAATAGATATAGCTGATGGAAATAGATGTGAATCACTTCATGAAATGATAATGATGAAGTTCAACCCGAGATATTAGTGTATATTGTACATCTGACATGTAAATAAATAAAAAGCTTTTGTTTTGACCACCATGTAATAGTTACAGTGATAAAGTCTTGCCATAAATTTGTATAACAATGTTCATAAACACCATAATATCTGCCACTGTAACGTCAAGTTAGATGTTTCTTGTGGTTTTCCACGATTTGATCTAGTAAAGGGAAAATAATAGTATCATAATTTCAACCTTACAATAGAGTGATATGTCTCAGTAATCTTGTGTGTAAAGGGTATGGGATAAGATTTCCATATTTCACCATATATTTGAAGCTTACCTTATAAAAGGCATAGAACGTGTGTACACTATTTCAGCATAAATTGGCAGTTACCTAATGAAGGGCAAACTCTGAATTTAAACCAAGAGTCAGAATGATCAATAAATTTATCATGGGTCCCTCAAATATAAGAAGAAGAAGGGCTTGGGTCGGGAACACTATTTCTTCATAAATTTGAAGCTTACCTTATAAAAGGCATGGGACACGTGTACACTATTCCAACATAAATTTGAAACCAGGAAGGAGGTTGGATTTAATTTTATTTTTTTTAAATTGTAAATTCTCAAAAATGTAAATATTATTCATATATATCTTTCAGGTCATCTTGCTTATTTTCTTTATTAGCAAATCAGAATGCAAAATAAACGTTTCTAACTGATTGTATTCTGAATTAAAATTGCTACTGTATGCTTCATTATTTGATCAGTCCTGTCATGCCTTTGAAACTTCAGCCTCTATTCTTTGGTCTAGGGTCGCGGCCTGCACAACATACGGCCCGCCAGCAACCACTTTGCAGCCCGCGAAGTGACGAAATATTCTTTATTCCTATTATTTTCGTAATAGCTTTCCTCCCTGTCCTATTTTCTTTTGGCCCGCATAAGTCCTGTCCTATTTTCTTTCAGCCCGCACAAGTTTTTCATAAAGTATTACGACCCGCCTTACATTTTGAGTTGTGCAGGCCTCGTCTAGGGTAATTGCACTTTTATAAAAACAGATATGGGAAAATAAGAATACTGAAAAAACAACCATTATTAAAGCTGTTTGTTCTTGAATGGCATTTTTAGTGTCAAAGCTCATTTTTTCATACCGGTAATACAGTAAAACCCGTGAATAGCACAAACCCGTGACCGAACCAAAAGTGGGGCTATTTAAAATAAGGATGATATTCGCAGGTTCAGCCAGAATGATGATCATGCACATAGTAATTTGAAAGGAGAAGCCATGTGCACTGTAGAATAAGTTAATAATTTTTTTGTTTACGTCGAAATTATAAAATTTTAAAGATATAAAAGTCTTTGGTTGTCTTTTTTATTAAGAATTTGGCCATGAACATTTAATGTCATATAAGAAAATGGGATGCTAAACTTGAAGCAATAGACAGGACAAAAGATGTGGACGTTTCTGTTTAGAGCAGGGGTCTTAAACGCAAATCATCTGGGGGCCGCAAGAGGTAGAATCTGAGTGAGACTGGGCCGCATCAAGTATTCCACATAAAAAATCGTTAACAAATTTAATAACGTACAACGTTAACTATCTGCTCAACTTTGATTAATAACAAATGAAAACATTAAGGGTTATCGAGAACTAGGCTTCACTTCCTCTTACGCCTTGTTGCCAGAGACCTGGCAGCGCTTCGTCTCACGCTACATTTGGCTTGAGCGAGGAAGCCACTGAGACCCTCAGTACAGCTTGGAGACCCTCAGTATAGCTTGGAGACCCTAAGTATAGCTTGGAGACCCTCAGTATAGCTTGAAGACCCTCAGTATAACTTGGAGACCCTCAGTATAGCTTGGAGACCCTCAGTATAGCTTGAAGACCCTCAGTATAGCTTGGAGACCCTCAGTATAGCTTGGAGACCCTCAGTATAGCTTGGAGACCCTCAGTATAGCTTGGAGACCCTCAGTATAGCTTGGAGACCCTCAGTATAGCTTGGAGACCCTCAGTATAGCTTGGAGATGCTCATCAATAACTTTGGCCCTGAACTTTGACTTGGTAAACTTCATAGTGGGAAAAGAGCTTTTCACACAGATAGTTACTCCCAAAAAGGCACATGATCCGCTTGAGCAACCAGTAAACCTCAGTGAAGGTGAAGGGCGATGCTCTCATAAATTGTCCATGCTTGTATGTTACTCGATTCACTCCCTGAACTTAGAATGGCACTGAAGATCAATCAGCTTCATTTGAAGCGCAAGTGGGGAGGTGGGGCGCATCTTCCACTATAAAGGATCAGCAGAAGGTTGAAAAGTGGCTCTTTGTGTTTTAAAGTTTTTGTGATAAAATTCTTCCTGTAGCTTTGCAATGCCATCAATATGCTCACTACTGTACGGTGTTGCCGAATCCATGCGTATGTTTTATGTTGGGAAATGGCAGAGGTTTCTCTAAGAACTATAACACAAGTTTTGTGCCGAATGCCTTGACATTGTCATAGGCAACACTGACAAGTCTTGTAACTTCTTGTTGAGTAAATTCAACTCCTGTGTAATGTCAACAAGAATAGCCAAGTCCATGAGCCATTTGGGATCACTTAGTACAGGGAAAACCACCTCATTCTTCTCCACGAGGGCTTAAAATGCTGAAATGTGTTCAAACAGTCGACAGGAGCAGGCAATATTTATGAATTATTGATGCGAAGGAAGATGCTATTGAAGGGAGAATGAATTTTGATTTTTTAATATTTTTTTTTCCGCAGAAAAGGCCTTTTTTTACTAATCCCTATTTTGAAATGGAACCAAGCTGGCAGGCTCGGAATTTCCCTAACTTGTTAACAGTAGGGGCAATTTTAATAGGGGTCAGAACGCTACGATATACACAATTATGGTTGTGCATTACCCTCTAACTGACATGTTAAACTTTTCTCCAAACCGCACTATGGCCGCCATGTTTGTCTCATAAAATGCTACAAAATAAAAACTTTTAGTCCGATTTTGAAACGGTTTTTACCATTATAATCAACGTCCAAATTTATACAAATCGAAATAAAAATCAGAATTAGACCAGTCGATGAGATTAGACTGAAACCGTCGCGGAGGGTCACATTATACATATGAGAATGCGGAAAACTCGCGGGCCGCATTACAGTAAACTTTGCTGTCATTTTGCGGGCCGCAAATGGCCCGTGGGCCGCGAGTTTGAGACCCCTGGCTTAGAGCCTTCATCAGCAAACAAAACAAACTAGAAGTAGAACAAGTAACAGAGCACAGTAAAAAAAAAATATGGAGGTCTTCTACGTAGTTGCCGGAAGTAGGATTACAGGAAGGAGAGTCTGGGGTACGGGGATTTTAGCATACCTGGTACCTTGTTCTTATATTTCATTTACACAACTTGAAAGCAGCCCATGAGTTATTACATGTAATGTCAGCTTATTATTAATGGTGACATCTAGATACTTTTATGTCCCTACTTGCTCTATACTACAGTGATTTTTTTATTGTGAGATATACAATTGGGTTATTCCCCTTCCGGAAATCGACAACCATTTATTTCGTTTTTGAAGAAAGATTTCATCGCACCAACTGATTAAAGTTAGTTACTGTAATTCACAATGCAGATCTATCAAAAGAAATATTTATTTGAATATCCTTCTGAGGAAAACATGGCTGATCCAGTGTTCAATTATTTCATTTCTAAAATTAAGATCAATAAAAATTGACTTTTTTAAAAAAGCAGAGGATGCAGTCATATGACTATACTCTCAACGGGGTTTGTATGTACAGTGGTATGCTTAAAAAAATATTGAAAACCAAATTATGCAGAATGTAATCCATGCGCTGTACACTAACTAAATAAAACGGACTGTTGGGTTGATGTTTGATCGGTGAAACCTTTGATTTCTTGCATTGGTTACCTGTCCGCGCTCGCATAGAGTACCACTGCTTGCATGACCTGGCGCCGTCTTATCTCAAAGCGCTCATCGCGCCTTATGTACCCGCTAGACCACTCCGCTCATCTGATAGTGGCAAACTCTCGATACCACGCGTTCGCCTTGAGACCTACGGAAGGCGCACTTTCGCATTTGCTGGCCCAACAATTTGGAACACCCTTCCTGTCCCTCTCAGAAACAGCCAGACACTGGTGTCCTTCAAAACCGTTTTGAAAACACATCTGTTTCGCAAACACCTGCTGGGGTGTTGTTGTCTACCCTCTTTTCCAGCTAGCTATTATCTCCTAGATGTAAATTGGCTTGTGTTGTTTATAGGTTCAGGGTATGAAAGACTTAGAATGGGTATGCTCGTATGTAGTTTTTGTAATGTTGAGTTTTGTATTTCAATGTGGTAAAATATTGACTGTTTCATTTCCCTTTTAATATGGTTGACTGTAGCGCGCTCCGAGCCTTTGGGGATGAAGCGTGATTTTAAAATAAACTTTATGATTATTATTAGTATCCTCCTTAGAGTGATCGGTAGTTTTAAAATCACCTTTGCAACCTCATTCAAAATTTCTAAATTTCTCTCAAACTAGGTGGGATACACGTGCAAAAGCTGCGGAGGCTATTTTGGAAATATACAGTGCTATCACTGAAGCACTTAGGCTATTTTGGGAAACTACAGTACCGGTACTATCACTGAAGCACTTAGTCATATAAACTCTATTATTAATGGAAGAGGTGGTAAGAGGCTTCAAACACGTAAATCTTTTAAATTTATTATTGTGTTTTTCCCAGAAAATTGAAGAGTTCAAATTTTGGTAGATGTTAGATTTTTGGCCCGAGTCTTCTGCTATTTCTATAAAGTCAATTATTATAAACATCAGAACTTTTACCGAGTTCCCGTGAAGCTTTGTAAAGTTTATCTGAAGTTTCTTAGAACAAAAGTGTCGGAGATGTTGATGAGTTTAAACAATAAGAAAAATTCCACCTTGTTAAAAGTTGATTGTAAAAACTTTCTTTTAATGAAACAAAAACAAAAAAAAAAAAAAAAGTTACTTGCAAGAAAGTGTTGGAATAGCACAAATGATTTTCTTAGAACAAAAGTGTCGGAGATGTTGATGAGTTTAAACAATAAGAAAAATTCCACCTTGTTAAAAGTTGATTGTAAAAACTTTCTTTTAATGAAACAAAAAAAAAAAAAAAAAAAAAAGTTACTTGCAAGAAAGTGTTGGAATAGCACATATGATGCATTAAATAAAGTCTTTCACAGAGAATTCAAGAAAAAAATCCTTCATCACTGTATTATTTAGGAGTTCGGACGAAAAAAGTTTCAGGAAAAATTTACAAATTTTGCTAGGACAAAAAATCACAGAAAAACTTTTTATTAGCTGTAATTTTATGTGCAAGTCCTTAGAAATGTTGATTATAGACTTTTGTGACTTTGCCCTTTTAAAATGAAATACAGAATAATACACATAGAATTGATAAACACAAACAAAAATGTCATTTTCTTTTCTATACTTACTGTTTGATCATAATATTTTATTGTAATGACAGGTGTGTGGGAAATAAAATCACCAGTTCACATCAAAAAGTAACTCTTTGTGATCTTTTTCCTTCAAGGTAAAATTGCGTCATCATTTTTGGCGTTCGCAACATCTCTTGATAGCATTACTTTGTCAGAGTTGACTATGATGTCTTACACCGTAACGTCTTTCAATGCAGGTCAGAGGCATCACTAGGTTTAATGTGGCTAGGTGTAGTAAATTCATGGTGTCGACCCTCTCCCCCCTCCCCACACACACAATTTTTCTGAAATCCCAGCGCCCCAGATCCTTATTTATTCTTAACTAGATCATACAAGAATTTTTTTAATTTTTTTTACAATAATTTTAATTCCTATAGCAAAAAAGGACGTAATTTAGAGAACATAGATTTGAGGTAACATATTTACTCTTTTTTTTAATTGTTCTTAAAAAAGCAGTTAAAACTTTACTTTCCTAGATGCGAATCTGTCAACCACTTCATCAAAGGTGCATTCTTCATCTTATTCCGTTAACATTTCAATTGACAAAAATTGTCAAGACCAGAAAGACTCGACTATTTCATATTGTAGATGGCAAAGAGTATTTAAACGTCTCAATTTCGAAAAGCTCCTCGAAACGACATTTATAAAAGAATTCCAAGTGACAGAGGAGTGAAGAAGGTGCACCACCAAAACCCCATAGAAAAACGGCTCAAAGGCGGACCTAGGCTCAGATGGATGGATGGGTGATGTGGAGAGGGATCTACAGCAGCTGGGAATCCAAGCATCAATTAAGTCTGGGTGGAAGGATGTGGTGAGGCAGGCCAAACCCCTGCGTGAGCTGTTGCGCCACAGAGATGGATGGAAAGTCTGAGTGAGGTGTCTAACCCCCCTCCCCCACATACAAACACCTAAACAACGCTTTCCACTCAGAGACTAACACCCCCACCCCTCAAAAAAATAAATAAATAAAGTGATAATAATAATAAAAATTAATTTTGAAAAACCATCTTCAACTAACAAGGTAAGGACCAACAACTGCGAGACTAACGGCGATCATCACCGTATTTTTTTATTATTATTATTTTTTTTTTTTTTTTTTTTTTTAATTTTTAAAATGTATACATGTTTAATTGTGTAGTATTCAGACCACTGGTAGCCCTTTGGGTCACGTGGTATTCAATACACTGAGCTATTCGCGACTGCAGTAATTTAAATTTTTTTAAAAGGTATTTACCAAAAGGTTTCCATCCAATTACTTTTTTTTTAATTTTTATGAAATAACAATCTTGAGCGCCCAACAAAACTCCAACAAAAACATTTTGATGATGAATCTCATCGACCTAAACAGACGTAGATCTGTATTTCTTTCTATTTTTATAAGGGTTAAGATTGTAGCTAAATCGTAAATCACAGTCTGGGAGAAGGTGTAAATATTGATAGAGCTATGTCAATTTTTAAAAAATTGGTGCCATTAATTCGTGTACACAACGACATCGTCAATGAACTGCAAGCGTCTCAATCAGGCAACACAGTCTTTAAACCAATTAGTTTTAATTGCACTTTTCCATGTGCGGCTTGTTGTTTGTTATTAATTAAGATAAATAGTAGCACCTGATTTATCGGTGCAGAGGAAGATTTGTAATAATTTTGAAAGTTTGAAATGGAGTCCAGAGAGCAGGCCACGCAAGTAGATTAAATAAAAGCAGTTGTAGAACTTACAATGAGCTCCAGAGAGCAGGCCACGCAAGTAGATTAAATAAAAGCAGTTGTAGAACTTACAATGAGCTCCAGAGAGTTGGATACCCGAGAAAATTAAATAACAGCAGTTGTAGAACTTACAATGAGCTCCAGAGAGCAGGCCACGCAAGTAGATTAAATAAAAGCAGTTGTAGAACTTACAATGAGCTGCAGAGAGTTGGATACCCGAGAAAATTAAATAACAGCAGTTGCAGAACTTACAATGAGCTGCAGAGAGCAGGCCACGCAAGTAGATTAAATAAAAGCAGTTGTAGAACTTACAATGAGCTCCAGAGAGTTGGATACCCGAGAAAATTAAATAACAGCAGTTGTAGAACTTACAATGAGCTCCAGAGAGCAGGCCACGCAAGTAGATTAAATAAAAGCAGTTGTAGAACTTACAATGAGCTGCAGAGAGTTGGATACCCGAGAAAATTAAATAACAGCAGTTGCAGAACTTACAATGAGCTGCAGAGAGCAGGCCACGCAAGTAGATTAAATAAAAGCAGTTGTAGAACTTACAATGAGCTCCAGAGAGTTGGATACCCGAGAAAATTAAATAACAGCAGTTGTAGAACTTACAATGAGCTCCAGAGAGCAGGCCACGCAAGTAGATTAAATAACAGCAGTTGTAGAACTTACAATGAGCTGCAGAGAGCAGGCCACGCAAGTAGATTAAATAACAGCAGTTGTAGAACTTACAATGAGCTGCAGAGAGCAGGCCACGCAAGTAGATTAAATAACAGCAGTTGTAGAACTTACAATGAGCTGCAGAGAGCAGGCCACGCAAGTAGATTAAATAACAGCAGTTGTAGAACTTACAATGAGCTGCAGAGAGCAGGCCACGCAAGTAGATTCAATAACAGCAGTTGTAGAACTTACAATGAGCTGCAGAGAGCAGGCCACGCAAGTAGATTCAATAACAGCAGTTGTAGAACTTACAATGAGCTGCAGAGAGCAGGCCACGCAAGTAGATTCAATAACAGCAGTTGTAGAACTTACAATGAGCTGCAGAGAGCAGGCCACGCAAGTAGATTCAATAACAGCAGTTGTAGAACTTACAATGAGCTGCAGAGAGCAGGCCACGCAAGTAGATTCAATAACAGCAGTTGTAGAACTTACAATGAGCTGCAGAGAGCAGGCCACGCAAGTAGATTCAATAACAGCAGTTGTAGAACTTACAATGAGCTGCAGAGAGCAGGCCACGCAAGTAGATTCAATAACAGCAGTTGTAGAACTTACAATGAGCTGCAGAGAGCAGGCCACGCAAGTAGATTCAATAACAGCAGTTGTAGAACTCATAGGTCGACCGGTTCTGACCTTGCCTCCGGCGTAGCAGGAATTTGAATGCTGGCTTCTTAATCTTAAGATGGAAGACGATGGTATGCATCCCAGTTACAGGTGCAGCTGGAGTAGGAGAAGAGAGGAGTGAACGCAGTATCTAGCAGAAATAGTAATAGTATGGCTTTTTTACACTAATATTATCAAGAATAGTGGTGTGTGAAAAGTGCTGCCCTTATTTAAATAAATGAACAGTGTGCCGTTCATAGACGTGGCACACTCCGTGAACTATAAAACTCAGTAGGACCATCACGGTCTAAAAGTGTCTATTGCTGATTAAAACTAGACTGTTTTCTGATGTGTCATTACTGGTAGGTGGAAGGAGCGCGCGTTACCTCCTTTGGAATAAACGAAATTATCCTAACACAATATATACAAGTATTTTACCTATCTTGCTGTGGTCTTGGAAAAGCTATAACTTTTATTCACTTTTCAAATTCAACACAAAAAAACAATCACATATATGTTATCCCAGGAGAACATTATTTTAATATTTTTTTTTATAAGTGATTTAACCAGCAATCATCGAATTAATTTGATTGCATAATTATTAAAATCATGAACTTTTGAATTATTCGTTTTAAAACGTGAATTGACCAGGCAAGGTCTGTTGGGGGACCGTTCATCGACCTGGTGGAGCAAGTGCGAATCCATCACGTCTGACGTGTTTCGACAGATTTAATTAACGCATCATCAATTAAACCACTCGTGCAGCTGATATGGAAATGAGTCCTTTACGAGACCTGTCAGTTTTTCAATTCTGGTCGATAGTAAAACAGTTGAGCAGGAATGTACTGGCTTACCCATATAACTAGTGAGAGGGTTCTCTGAATCTTTTATCGCTGCCCAAAAACACAGGTAAAGTAATTTTTTTAAACCTTTAGTGCTGCATTTTTTTTTCAAAAGTTGTTTGTATTTATTTCACGGCAACTCCCGTAAAAGTTTTGTACTATTTCCATGTGAGGCTTAGCCCAAAAGGATAAGAACCACTAAGCCTGGAAGGCTATTCTTACGTTTAAGCTAAAACAAACACTGAGAAAAGAAAGTAATTTTCCTGACAGAGTTTTCTATAACTGCCTGAATGTTCGAATTTGAACAGCTTTCTCTCAGTGTACGTCGTACTGGCTGTTTTTACTGCAGGTGAACAGTGACAAGGAGAAGAGAATGTGTCATTTAAATGTCAGCAAGTGACAAGGAGAAGAGAATGTGTCATTTAAATGTCAGCATGTGACAAGGAGAAGAGAATGTGTCATTTAAATGTCAGCAAGTGACAAGGAGAAGAGAATGTGTCATTTAAATGTCAGCAAGTGACAAGGAGAAGAGAATGTGTCATTTAAATGTCAGCAAGTGACAAGGAGAAGATTATGTGTCATTTAAATGTCAGCAAGTGACAAGGAGAAGAGAATGTGTCATTTAAATGTCAGCAAGTGACAAGGAGAAGAGAATGTGTCATTTAAATGTCAGCAAGTGACAAGGAGAAGAGAATGTGTCATTTAAATGGCAGCAGTCGAGAAACGCACGAAGACATGACAAACTGTGAGGGTGACGTGGACAACCACGAATTCAACCCACTGGTTGATGACGCGACCCTTGGCGTCGTCATCATCGTCCAGTACTGCGTCATCAGCAGTGTCATAAATGTCTGCGGAATGGTCACCAACTTTATCAACATCGCCGTGTTCATCAAGATGGGGTTCGCCGAGGTGATCAACATCAGTCTCTTGAGCCTGTCGGTGGCCGACCTCGGCAGCCTCGTCGCTCTGCAGTTCTTCAACATCTGCATCAGTCCCTGGATGCAGACGGCCGACATCCCATTCGAAGCTTTCGAGGTGGCCTACCTGGCCGGAGGGTGGCCCCGGATGTACACGGTGCGCGTCGTTGCCTGGGTAACGGCTTTCATCACCTTCGAGAGATGTCTGTGCATCGCCATGCCTTTAAAGGTGAAGCTTATTCTAACCCCGATTAGAACCGTCTACATCCTCATTTTCATCTTTGTCTTCATCGCCGCCGCTCTCTCCGCGAGCTTCATAACGACGACGCTTGTCTGGAAGTTCTTCCCGGGTAAAAATAAGACGCTCGTGGGGATAGGCGTCACTGCCAACCGGAAGGAAGTCGACAGTATTGCATTTGTCGTTAATGACATCTTCCTCCCCATATCCGCGTATGTGTCGGTCGTCGTATGCACCGTCGTTCTAACGGTGAAGCTCAGCTCAAAAGCAAAATGGCGTCAACAGTCTACGACCAAGTCAGATCACGTGACCGGAAAGGAGAAGCAGGTCATGAAACTCGTTAACGTCATATCCGGTCTGTTCATCGCCTCTTATTTTCCCAACGCGGTTGTCTTCTTCTGGATGGCGCGCGAGCCAGAGTTCAACATAGACGGGAAATATCGGAATATCTTCATGGTCTGTTTCTCTTATTGCTTCATAGCCGAGTCCCTCAACTCGTGTGTCAACATCGTGGTCTATTATAAGATGAGTTCAAAGTTCAAGTCTGTTTTCAACACAATGTTCCGCCTCGACCCATCATAGATCAAAAACTTGATCTTGTTTTCAAAGGTTGTTTGGCAACCATTTAGGACCATATCCCGCTCAGCTTAAGATAGATGCACAAAATTCAGCCCCATTCAAGAAGTCATAAATTTCAGAGTCATGTTTCTGAGAAATGTTAAAGAGTGATGCTTCAGAATGTATTTTTTTTTTTTTTTAATGCATCAATTAAAATCATTGGGGTATCGAAACAAACAAAATGTTTTAAAGCGCCTGTGACTGATAGGGTTGCTATGTAATTAGTACGATCTCAGAACACACTTCAAATAAAGTTGATTTATTCTTAACCGCGTCAAAGTGGCCCGCATATAGTTAAGAACATTGTTGTTTGTTGGTGGTTTTTTTTCATTTCGAAGCCCTTATAGTTATAGTTAATAATCAGATTTTGATTCATTTCATTACACACTAATTTCAGTGCAAAAATTGGTGCTTTCCAAAAAAAAAATTTTTTTTTTTAAATTGATGAAATCGAACCGGTGGTTCTTCTAAGTATTACTAAGGTTTATACACCAAAAAGATTAAACTTTGCGATGGTAGCATCTCGTAGTACCGGTAGTTAGTAGCGTGCACTATGTCCAGGGCTAACGGTGTGTGGGGCAAACGGTGTGTGGGGGGAAAAGTGTGACGGCCCGGTCATTCATCCCAAAATCAAAGAGAGAAATAAACATTTGATGCAGACTCGTCATGTTGTTTACAGCTATTGAAAGAACCGTTTGATGCCTGATGGCTTTGGAATTAGATGTTATGTCCGTTATTAGGAGCTCTGCCAGGTAATCAGATGTTCTGTCCAGTTATTATATGTTCTGTTTCTGTGACCCAAGAGCAATTAATTAGAAGAACGAAGGAAATGTTCAATTTTTATAAATTATTATTATCTTTTAAAGCATTTAAACATATTATATGGATAATGCCATTCGATGTATTACCGTATTTTCGCGCATACAAAACGCACCTAATTATAAGACGCGGGGTTTGACGATTTGTGTAAAAAAATATTTTACACTAGGTATAGCCCGCCAAACATTGGCGACAGCAATGCGTGAACTTCCCATCTACTAGATATAGCCCGCCAAACATTGGCGACAGCAATGCGTGAACTTCCCGTCTACTAGATATAGCCCGCCAAACATTGGCGACAGCAATGCGTAAACTTCCCATCTACTAGATATAGCCCGCCAAACATTGGCGAAAGCAATGCGTGAACTTCCCATCTACTAGATATAGCCCGCCAAACATTGGCGACAGCAATGCGTGAACTTCCCATCTACTAGATATAGCCTGCCAAACATTGGCGACAGCAATACGTGAACTTCCCATCTACTAGATATAGCCCGCCAAACATTGGCGACAGCAATGCGTGAACTTCCCATCTACTAGATATAGCCCGCCAAACATTGGCGACAGCAATGCGTGAACTTCCCATCTACTAAAGTTACTTGACAGAACATGAACTCAAGCAACGCACATTTAAGAATCCCAGTTTTAGCTACACCCCTGCCCTCCATGATACGTCACTGCACACTTTTTATTTCACGCCCAAGAACTATATTAAAATTTAATCTCAACATTCTGATGTCCCAACCACTTTCAATTAAACCGAATATTTTTTACACCTTACTTAAATTGAGACGATTTCATTCTCCGAAAAGAAAATATTACGCGCCAAATGTAGTTGCGCTATATGTTAAAAAAAAAACTTAGCGATGTTATCGGGAATTATATTTTGCGCACTGTTGAACTCATTATTGAACCATACTTTCTTTCAAACATTTAGAAGTATTTGTAGTATACTCTCAATACCACATTCGCTGATCAGGAAGTAGTTCATTAGGAAAAAGTCGTTTAGGAAGCACTCCACGATTCACACCACACACATATATAAATATAAGACGTGGGTCTTGACGATTTGTGTCAACAAAAATGACATAAGACGCACGCGGCCTGGCCACCTGCCGCTCTGAACAATTGATATCCAGTGGTTTCCTTTCTTTTGCCATAAATAAAAATGTGTCCAATGTTTCATCACCCCTCTGATGTCAACAAGGCTTCATTGCCGCGGGTTTTTTGAAGATTAGTGTAAATAATGTTACATAAGACGCACCCAAATACAAGACGCACCGCGGGTGCCGGATACGTAAAACTGTGTATAAGACTTACCTAATGTACGCGACAATACTGTGTACATTTCTTTACTGAATGGGTTATTTGGTGAGCCCAGAGCATTGGAATTAAGTTCATAAGAAAGCCAATCGTTTAATCTGAATCAAACTTATAGCTCGAATCAAACTTATCACAGTGTGGGCATTCGATTGTGTAGGGAAGTGATGATGTGTGTTGTTGAGTTGAAAACGAGGGACTGTCACATATCATGCATCGATTGTGTAGGGAAGTGATGATGTGTGTTGTTGAGTTGAAAACGAGGGACTGTCACATATCATGCATCGATTGTGTAGGGAAGTGATGATGTGTGTTGTTGAGTTGAAAACGAGGGACTGTCACATATCATGCATCGATTGTGTAGGGAAGTGATGATGTGTGTTGTTGAGTTGAAAACGAGGGACTGTCACATATCATGCATCGATTGTGTAGGGAAGTGATGATGTGTGTTGTTGAGTTGAAAACGAGGGACTGTCACATATCATGCATCGATTGCGTAGGGAAGTGATGATGTGTGTTGTTGAGTTGAAAACGAGGGACTGTCACATATCATGCATCGATTGTGTAGGGAAGTGATGATGTGTGTTGTTGAGTTGAAAACGAGGGACTGTCACATATCATGCATCGATTGTGCAGGGAAGTGATGATGTGTGTTGTTGAGTTGAAAACGAGGGACTGTCACATATCATGCATCGATTGTGTAGGGAAGTGATGATGTGTGTTGTTGAGTTGAAAACGAGGGACTGTCACATATCATGTATCGATTGTGTAGGGAAGTGATGATGTGTGTTGTTGAGTTGAAAACGAGGGACTGTCACATATCATGTATGGAGTGAAACACTATCACCTTACATTATATTTATCCCGAAGTAGGTTACAATGAGTATAAAACTCTACACCTACAATGTGAATTCATAATAGAAAAAAAAACAAACATATCTTTTAAACAATTGCTCAGTTGACTGGTGGTAAATTTTTTTTATTTTATTGTAAAAAAAAGACACATTTTAATGTGTACCAATATTTATGTTTTTTTTTAAACAAACCACATGTTCAGAATCGTATCACCAATACTAAATGTATCAACAAATCTACAACTGCAGCAAAGGCATGGCATACTTCAAATCTTTCATTCAAAACAACAAAGCAGTAAAACTTAAAGCAGTGCACTGGACACACCCTTACAGCGGTGCATTGTATACACTCCTAAAGTGGTGCAATGGACACACCCCAACAGTGGTGCACTTGAAGTCCGCTTACATTAGACAACCCTATGAATGACAAAAGAAGCAATCCCAATGGATGAACCATTTAATATTGCTAGGTAGCCTAACAAACACCATTGTGATCTGTCCTACTTAAGCCTGACAACCACCATTGTGTTCTGTCCTACTTAAGTCTGATAAACACCATTGTGATCTGTCCTACTTAAGTCTGATAAACACCATTGTGATCTGACCTACTTAAGCATGACAAACATCATTGTGATCTGTCCTACTTAGTCTGATAAACACCATTGTCATCTGTCCTATTTAAGCCTGACAAACACCATTGTCATCTGTCCTACTTAAGCCTGACAAACACCATTGTGATCTGTTCGACTTAAGCCTGACAAGCACCATTGTGATCTGACCTACTTAAGACTGACAACCACCCTCTACACCTTTAATAAAGCTGTACACACAGACATTCACTTTAATATAACAAACTATCCATTTTCAAAACCGGAGGTATAAATTTTTTATTTCTTTTGGTGTTCACTGAGAGCATACTGAATAAAAGAATGCTGTGTTATCGACAGAGCTTGAGATTAATATAGCTAGTTCTGTCCTTCTTTCCTACCTGGTCTGCCATTTGACCACATCCACTCTTTTAAGGTACACAAGCTACTAAACTTATTCACCAATCTATCACAACGCCAGTTGGAACTGAACACATACAAGCACTCATTAACTAATGGTCTGCCAAGTGTTGCTGCCACTTGACCACTTCCAATGTACAGAAGCTGAACACATTCACCCAATTCATCACAACGCCGGTTGCAACTGAACACAAGCAAGCGCTCATTAGCTATTCCTCTGCATGCATCCTGATATTTGTAACCGGCCGTGAACAACACCTTTCGGTCGGTCATCCACTCACACGGTCAGTGGGATGGCAGTTGTTGTTGAATGTGTGTTTCTGGGGCCTTCAGGTCTGGTAGGGGACCCGGATTCTATAAGAGCATTTAACAAAAACAGGTTTATTTATTTATTTATTTAGGCATTTTTATATAGCGCTTACGTTAACCCTTTACAGTCCGATGCGCCCGAAATGTGCCGATTTTTTCCTTAAGCGTACAGTCCGTTGCGGCCAAACCCGCCCGTTTCGAGGTTGTTTACTTTCATTCTTAGCACAGCGGAAATCCATTGCGCATTACTATTTATAGTTCTACCGGAAGAAAGCCTCGTTGTCGGCATTTATTTTGATACTAGTTTGACAGCGGTGTGTTTAGAGGCTGATTTTCTATGATTTTTTAAAAAGTCGCGATTTTTTCGCTGTAAAAAATGGCTATCTAAGCCTTGGATACGCTTTTGAAAGAACTTAGGCCTAATGAAGCTTCACTATTTTTAGGTTTAACTTTTGCTTTAATCATTTCTTTGTATTTAGGTAATTTTTATTTTATTTTGTTGCTTCTAGTTTATTTTCTGTAAATTAAATAGATAAAGAACCTTCATTTAAAATGGAGTTATGTCCCTTTGCTTGGGCGCTGGGAGTAGACAAGGCTGATTAGGTTTGGACTGTAAAGGGTTAAAGCTCTAAGCGCTTTACAATTATTAAAAATATGTAAACTAAGGTTAAGTAAAAGACGATGACAGCGTGGAATCATTTAGTCAGAATGAGCTATAAAGTATAGTATGAGCCAAAACTAGCAATACTGAAACTTCGGCATCTTGAGTGCATTGTTTGTCAACGGTGCATACGTCCAGCTGCCTTTTTAAAAACTTTTTTGGAGCATGTGGCAGCTGGAGCTATGACACATTGAACGACGCATGTGCACATTCAAGATGCTGGAATTTCAGTACAGTTACATTTAGCGCATACATAATTAAAGCAATGGTCAAGTGCCTAAACACCACTTAAAAAAACACCACAAAAAAACACACTACATTATGACCAAGTTGACCAAAATATATCCATTTTTTTTTTAAATAACTTTTTCAATATTATGATCGTATATTACTGCGTATGATGAGAAAAATTTAAGGTAAAAATAATATTATTAAAGCTAGGGCTTTAAAATAGTTCCAAATGAAAGAGGACATGTCGTGGGACAGGATTTAAAATATCCCATTATACATGGGCATGCATTTTAGCTAAACAAATAGTTAGGGCTTCATAGATATATAAATATATGTATGGAATGCATAATACGCAGAAATATAAGGTAAGATTAAAATAAAAAGTCATGTAAAATGAAATAAAACAATAAATTCATCAAGATAAGAATGACCTCCAGTGCCATTTAAGCATAGCAACCACAACAACCACCACTACTACCACCCCTACTACTACATACCAGTTTTGCTGCTCTTGGTCTGAGGATTGTGTCATATGTCCAGGAGTGGAGCTGTTCACAAACGGGGAGGACAGTAACAAGAAAACATCAATATGTTTTTGAGTCAAAAATTTAAATTTAAAAAAAAATGTACTCTAAATGTAATTAATTTTTAAATAAAAGTAATCACTTCTTTTACTAGGAACAAGCATTATATTTAAATAAATGTATTTCCTGTATCTGATGGCCAATGTGAGCTCATGATTAAGTTACATTATTAGCCAACTTGACATACAGTATGCCCGAGTATGAACTCATTGCTATGCTACTGGACACAGAAAGGATCTGCATTGGCACCCTTAATTACAAAAAGATATTCATCACATCACATCAGCCACCCCCACATACCATCATGTTGATAGTCCCAGCCCGGGCACACACTTTGTTACAAACAATGTATTCATCACATCTTCCGCCCTCCATACCATTTATCTGTGTCGGTTGTCCCACCCCGGGCACACTTAGTTACAAAAAAGGAATTCCTCACATCCTCCACCCCACATACCATTATCTGCGTTGGCAGTGCCAGCCCTTGAACTCTGCTAAGCTTCCCAAAACTTGGACTCTCAATATCATGGATCTGATGGATGAAAATATATTTGTATGCATTTAGAAACAATGTGCATAATGCTTGATATTCAATGTATAATATGCATGCAATAATTATATAAGAGAAGTCAATATTAAAAATTTGGATGCTTTTTTTAAAATGAGATAATTATTAATTTTAAAAATGAAATGTTTGAGTAATATCAAAGTCATTAAAATGTAGCAACGTTATTAATTTTTTAAAGATTTTTTTTTGTTAAGGAAGGTGTCATTCAATTGAACATTTTTTTTTTTAAAATTACCTTATCAAGTATAAAAGTATAAACTTAATGAGAATGAAAATGACCTACAGCAGTGATAGAATATCTGCCAATCTGTGATGTGTTGGCTATCATAGGACCAGCGCTAATATCAATGTGGTCCCCCATCCTGTACATAGTGACCGTGGAGCCAGACTTTGACTTGGAGGCTATGGCTGGTATCTGTGCCCTCTTGAACCTGTTGTCTGAAAACATGTCCTGTGCCACAGAAACGGGGACATCCAGTCTTTGGAATTTAAGGTCGGCAAAGTTGAGCCGTAACCCAATTCTACTTAAACAGTTCAATTCTGTCTGAACAGAATAAAAAAAAATGTTTAAAAAAATGTCATTCATAAGGAGTGGAGCGTAACAGAGGTACAAGTTCTGAACTATGGTATAGCTTAAAATAAATGCGTCCAATGATTTGAAAAGATTTCTTTCTGCAGCTGAGTTTTTTACCTTGCTAGGTTTCCAATCCCCCAACTTTAAATCTGCATCATAAACAAAGCTGCCACTTGACACTGAGGACAAAAACAGCAGATAAGAGGGTGACGTAAAAAAACAACAACCCTGTAACAGAATTTGAACATTGAAATGTTACAACACCATAACATGAAGACAAAGGTTTGTGTAGATGTAAATCAAGACAGGCCTTCTTAATCATCAATAAATCCCATTTTTTAATAAAGTATTTTCACGAAAATATAATTATAATATATATATATATAAATTAAATAATTAAAAATAATTAAGGTGAGGATATTTTTGGTGCTCACCATTGGGTGATGGAAAGCTACACAATTCTATATAGAATTTGTCTTGAAATGCTGTCTCTAAGACATGTCCAAGGACAAAGGAACATGTTCTCCAAAATGCCTTTTAAAAAAATGTTCAATGAAATCATGATGGATAAATGCATAAGTTTGGCTATTTTACTAAGAGCTATTCAGATATTACAAATATAAAAATTGTAAAGAAACTATTTACCAGGAGAAATGTAAGCAAAAGAAATCATATGATATATTTAACTGTTAATAATAACCAATAATAAATTTTAATCCAGTGCTTAAAATATGTTGTTAAATATGTGACAAATGAAGAAACTAGGCACAAAGGCCTCTCAATTATTAAAAAGCTGAGACAGTTTGAATAATGACTAAGTTTAGTTTGTCATCCAAAATTTTAGTATCATATTACTTCTAATATTTTAATCAAGACTAATTTTAACTTGGAATACTGCCATTTCAAACTTACATTGTTAACTATTCTAGGGTCTTCCTCTTCAAAGTGAAGGAATTTAATCTCACAATCAGTCTCCAGGGGTCTATGCATATCCCATGGTTGACCATTTACCAGAGCAAGAGCTGACCTTGTCATCAACAATTCTTGCATGTCTAATAAAGATAAAAAACCATTAAGTATTTCCACATTTGATAACTAAGTCGGGATGATTTTGAATACTATTATCCCATTGAATCATTAATAACCAAAGCTTATTTTAATCACCAGGTGGCAAAATTCCAGTCAAAGGTAAAAAACTGCTTGCAAACAATAAAAAATAAATATTTTGAAACATATGAAATAAAATGAAATGCTTGTTGGCTTTATACTTTATGTGTTGTGCTACAGTAATTTACAATGCATTGGTTGTGTAAATTCTTTAACGTCAAACAAGAGCAAAGAACTTGACAACCCGTGATCATCATCACCAAAGAGATTGAGCCAATATTAAAATAACCAGTGTTCCCCTGCAGATGGATAACAAGATAGAAGCCAGTAATCTTGATTTCCGATCTCATGAAATTTCAATTTTTTTTTAAATATAGAGCTCCCACTTTTGTAATACTTTGAAAATCAGTATGTGTGAGGGTTGGAGATTTCATACTTGGGGAAAAAATATATGTGGTGCATAAATAATGTTCATCAATAGCTAATGCTCTATTTCAGACAAAATAATGCTCATCCCTAATATTTGACCTGACTTTGCCAAAGTTAACCAGTGGAATGTGACAAAAAGAAAATTTATTTTTTTAGGAATGTAGATCAAGACTGTCTTCCAGTTTGAAGTGGATAACAATTATAAGACAAAGGAGTAACTTATTTAAGAACAAAAAAAATTTAAAAAAGGAGAATCAAACGTACGCATCGCACAGTTGAAGGGTGTTGATAAATATTTATTCATGATGAGTGTGCAATCTTCCGGAATACCAACATGCTTGACTTCAATCTTTTCAACCCTGGTGACAAGTCCCACCTGTCTTTCTTTTTCTTTGTCAAAAAGTTCAATCCTCTTTTTCCGCACATCTGTATTTGTCAACGACTGTGAGCTGAACATACCTGTATCAGATGATACACAATACAATGTAACTTAGGCCATTTTAAATACTTGAAATTTTAACTTTTTTTGTAGCCTGGCTATACAGCCATACAGATGTGAAATTCATTGTGATTTTTAGTGTTTACAAAATTAAGAGCTACGGCTTGGTTTAAGGATATAAAGGTAAAGAATCGGCTCTTGTTTAAAAAAAACAACTAGTATAGCCATATCCATAGCCTACTACTACCATAGAATTGGCCCCTGTTACCTGCAGCTCCCGGAATATTTTCTGAGCAGATAGATAGGCCTTTGACATGTATATTACTATTATTGATTGGCTACCTATTTAAATGATTAAAAAAATTTTGGACCCCTGACATCCGACTAATACTAATCACTTAGACTCAGTAAGTATTGTGTAGAGGTAGCAATGGCATAGTTCTTCACATTCACAGGCTTAAAACTTGACTCTAAATCTTTGAATAGGAGTAAGACAAGACTATTAACTTTCTTTCCGATACAGTCTCAGATTGTGACAAATGTGTGTTACATACATACCTTTATTGGTAAAAGTGCAGTTCATGGGTGTATATTATTTCTGATCCAATTTCATATTTAGGCATTTAAACTTGTGAGTATTCTTTAGTAAATTAACTCCAGGCAGTAATAGTTAACTAACAATAAATTTTACATAACTAAATTTGTATAAACCCTAACAAAATAACAATAAATTTTATCCCCTAAAAAAACATTTGTAAAATATGATGCGAAAGGGATTCCCTGTTGTAATATTCCTTTGCCGCCATTTCCTCCGAAGAAAACAATAAAATAAACATAGGGGTGTGACTCCTGAAATAAACTTAAATAAACATGCAAATGATGTCATGGTGCTATCTATTCTTATTAGCCATTTCTTGTTTTGTATTTGTGATTATGCCTTTCAGTTTGAAAATTTCATTTAGCACACCAACTTATATGTGAAAAAATGTGGCATGTTGCAGGGTGGAAAAAAAATGGAAATGTTATTTACTATTTACTCTACTCTGACCATATACCATTTGGAATCATTGGGGGCTGTAGAATTCAAATATAAAGAAAAGTTAGTGCTGTACAATTTAGTGTTAGTTAACTAATACTGTTACTGCCAAGAGTATATTTAATCAAAGAAATTCACATAAGTGTTGACAGTGACAGTCAGTGTCCTAAGTTTATACGAAAAGATACGAAATTGGATCAGAATTAATATATTATTATTATATAATAAATAGGCTGGTTTTGAGTTAGCGGTAAGGCTGACAATGTGTTCCACGATATATTATATAGGTCACGGAGGTTCCCTCAGATCCATTTCCGTCTAAAGTGCCATACTAAAAAGATTTCGATGTTTGTATTTACATAATGCAAGTTGTTTTCTTATTTTATATTTTTTGTTAAATTGGGGAGGGTCTCCCCTCCCCAGAGAATTACTATGTTACTATGTTTCTTATTTTGGTATTTAAAGGGAGGGGTCTCCGAGGGGAGGGGAGACCCCTCCCCAGTTCCTAGAAGATCATTCCAAATGCAATTTAAGCAGTAGTCTTCATTTTGTTACCCAAGTCTCAACATACGGGTATTTCGATTTCAACTAATCAAAATACAACAATTTTGGCGGGCGTCTTTTTTTTTCGACCGGTGTTAGGTCTCGGGGTATCAGCAAGGATGTGTTTCTTTTTTCCTTTCTTTTGAATGAAAATTTAATTTCAATATACTTTATATAAACCAAATAGTTTATGACGCAAGTAGTAATGCTCAATAAAGAACAGGAATGTTATAACACACATCGTTCGGGACTTTCAAAGAATAGATGAAGATCTATTCACCCTAAGTCCAGTGTTGGGATTCCCAATGTGACGTCACTGCGCTTAGGGTGAGAAAATTCTTGGCAAAACCAATACCGTTAACTCAAAATTTACTAATAAATAATATTATGCACATGGCACATGAACTTCATTGACTTCAATTTTACCATCTTTATTTAGTACTAATTAGTACAAATATAATGCTAGTGTCTGTCAGCGAGTTGTGACTACTGTGAGTGTTCTTAAGAGAACTTTTTGGGTTTTTTTTAGTTTGCCTTGTCCTTTTAAAGACTAGATTAAAGATTAGTTCAACGCCCTACTTCACTCTAGTAACTAGTTTTACTACTACTAGTAATAGTAAAAATAGAACTACAACTATAAGTGTCTAGAAGTCTGTGCGAAAACGGTTTAGTACATCCTTCATTTAGCAAAAGGCACTTCAACCCTCTAAATTTTGAGTTTAACATAAAAACGGCTACAAAAATGATACTTACGGATGCATTTATGAATCCGGTTGTGTGACATTGACTTAAGACACGAATGTCTCAGATTTTGAAAGGTAGAAGCCATGTTGATAAATAACCGGAAATAAGTGAGAATAGCCCCCCTTTTATTTCACTGCGCATGTTCATTACTTGTGTTTCTAAGGCTACGAAATAAGAGTCCTGTGAGGTGTTGAAGAGTTTTTCACGAACTCAACAAGTAAAACTTCTAAATTGGACTTTGGCTTTGCGGTAAATGGTTTAACTTCAAATAAAACATTATATTATGAAGTGAAAATGTCTAAACATTTGTATGGACGTTACTTTATTCAGTTATTTTATTTAAACTAAGTTATAAATAAAGAATCAATGGCCACGGTAGAATTGTGCGTTGCAGCTTACTCACTACCACTACATTACGTTAATCAGAGCGATCCAATCTGAAGTCTGAAGTGAGTTTGTGAGTAGTGTAGAAATGGGCTGTGGCCTGTCAAACAGAGTCAAAATGAATTATATTTAAAGCAGCCTAAGAATTAAAATAAGTTAATAGTTTTGCCTATAATAGCCTATTACTATTACTGGAGTGGGAATGATCTAGTCACTAAATTAAATGATAAATGCAACACAAATTCTGCAAAATAATAACATTCCCTCATTAGCTGACACTGACATGTCACATTGAATTTAAATGCAAAAATGCTAATGAATTGTTTACATTTAAATTATGTTTTTAACTAAATGATTTAAACTCAAATCATTGAATGATTGATTGAGCTCCATGCCTAATGCCATAACAATGAAAAGATTTAAAAGACACCTCACTGCATGGCATTAATAACTTCATACTATCATGTCCTCACTGTTTTGATTTTCGGAATTCTGGGTAAGCTGAGTTACTTACTGAAAACTTTTTGCTCTAAAAAAAGCTCAGATTCATCAAGTAAATAATATTATATTACTAAACTTTCATATAGAAACAGGGTAAATTTTAAGGATGACTATCACTATTTTATCGAATTTCACGAATGTATCCCTAAATCGATCCCTATGCCTAACCTGGACCCTAAATCGATCCCTATGCCTAACCTGAACCCTAAATAGATCCCTATGCCGCATGCCTAACCTGAACCCTAAATCGATCCCTCAACCTAACCTAAACCCTAATTCACTGCAACTATAATAAACACCCAAAAGACGCTGTGGCAGCCGTCATTAATATTAGCCAGAAACAGATATGTCAGATTGGCTACTGTCAATATTCAATATTAAATTAAAATTAAACTTCACCAAAGGGTGTTTATTACTTTATTTAAATTTATAATAAGTTGTAGGGTATCATATTACATTTTTATACATTTGTTTGGTATTAGAGTCAAGTGGTGCAATGTCAGTTTCTGGAGGCTCAAGTGCAAGTGGATCTCGGCGTGGGAAAACCCGCCAATATCGAACTGTTAGCAATCAGTCTCAGATTGATGAATGTTTATTTGGACAGCCACAGTCACAACAGGCAAGACATGCAATGCTAAAAGAAAAATATCAGGATCCACAGGTTTGTATGAGTAAATAAATTCCATTTTTAGTAAATGATAGGCCTCAAGAAATTGATGTCATTAAAATCAGATGAGTCTTTGTTGACCCTTTTCATACTCCTGTAGTGAAACAGTCACTGATACATGATAGCGCAATCTTTCCAATTATCTTTAATTTTACACCATAAATATTTCATATTTTAGTCACTATGCGTCACCAAAAAAAGCGTGGGCGTTTTACATTATTTACTCAGAAAATTTAAAAATAAATGAAATAATTTTATATGTGAACATTGTAGGTAACTGCTTTTTATTTGTTTTGTAAAATAAAATCAAGTTCCAAGTGCAAGGAATAGCTTACATCAAATATCGGCAACCTCTTACTGATAACTACAATGTCAGTTGAATTTATTAAATTCTTTCATATTCAAATACAGCAATTATTTCCTTTTACCCCAATATTCCAGGAAATGCCTTCTTACACTGAAGGAGTGGCCATTGAGCGTTTGGCGCATGAGAGAAGTAACAGACGAAAGAACGGTCAAACAAAACAACAAAAGGAGCTTGTCACAGTAATTACCAAAGACCTCATTCGAAAACTTATGTAAGCTGACTTCATTTTAAAAAAACTAGCACCTCCTTTTTGATGGTTGGACATCTCTAAAAACATTCACTTTGATAATATTTTTGCATTACCATTTTATTGTGTGGATTTGTAAATGAGAAGTTGCAGGTTCAACTCATGACCAAGTTACCATCACCTGGACACTTAGCTATTGGTAAATAGTTTGGGCAGGGATCTTTGCAACCAATAATTGGATGGTTAGTTGAAAGGCTTATCATCTACCCTGGGCTAAGGGAAGTTTATAAATATTTATCAACTTCGCACTAAATGTACTATAATTACCATACTTTCTACATCAAGACAGGGGTTCTTAACTGGAGGGTTGTGCTTTATTTTTAAAAAATGTATACCCATAGGGAACAGCTGAAATATGTATACATTTTTTTATTTATAAAATTAAAAGTAGAATTTAAAATGCTTTTAAAAAAGGTTTCAGGAAAAAAAAGTTAAGAGCCATTGGTCTAGGCACAACATTTATTTTGAATGCCGATTCTTGTATGTAATGTGTACCTTGCAGTAGTGGCTAGCACAGTTGATAAGTTATAAATATGTTTGAATGTATTTAGCTAAACAAGAGTTATTGCAACATCAAATCTTAAATATGGTGGTGGCTCAAATCCTCTTGTGTAGATCTGCTCTCGGTGTTATAGTTGAATGATCACAATGGAGTTTTCCATAAGCCAAATGCTTAAATTTTATATTTATTTATGATTCATATGTTTAAACCCTCTTTTAAAGTGTAGCTCAGTGTTCCTAAAAATTTTAATGCATTTTTTTAATTCGCTAAGTTGACATTAAAAAAAAAAACTTGTAAGCTCACCATTTTTATATTTTAAAAAAAATTCCACAAAAAATGTTGCAGCTTACTTAAAAGTTAAAAGCTAATCTCTAATCTTACAAATGAAGTTTTAGTATTAGTTTATGAAATACAGTTCTTATCACATGTTGTAGTCCAAATAATCTCTTTTCCTTAAATTAAATATTCCATAAATACTTATATAGTTTAATTTTAATTCAGCTCCTATGTCTTGCAATAGGACAACGGCACATTCATTTCATTTTATCTCACTATTTGTTAGTGTGCCCTCTGAAGATCCATCGGGAGAATCTACTGTTATACCAAGAGACCAGTTCTTTCGTATTCTTCAAGCATCCAGAGTTCTCTCAAAGGAGGAGCGGGAAGAGGAAGCTGAAAGAGTGAAGAGGGAAAAAGAGCAGGCCATGGTATGCAGGAAAAGAGTTTCTGTTCTTGCTCAACATAAAATTGTTGTTACATGACTTAACCTGTGACTGTGAATGATAATTATAAAGTGTATTTGGGAAGAAATACATACAAAAAAACAGTTATTTTATGATTTTACACTAGTATTTTGTACCTGAATTTTGTATAGAATTTATATCATTAAAATAAAATAAATGCCATGAAATAATTCTACAATGTGTATTTCATTTTCATGGAACTGACATTCAAAAATTATTGTTAAATCTGTTCCTGTCTTTTTACATGACATTATCTTTCAGTTATTAGTTTTGATGAACCAATGTCAATTTTTAATTTGGAAACATAATTTATTTTTAATATTATTTATTTAATTTTATTACAATTCCATTCATATTAATTTGAAGAGTACCTTAATTTTTATTTAAGTTCAATGAAGTCTATAAACAACATAATTACAATAATTTTTACAAAACACATAATTACAATAATTTTTACCAAAACTGCTTATTTGTTGTTTAAACACATATCAGGATGAGGCCCAAGAAAGAAAAAACCGTATGAAACAGCTTGACCTCGCTCGACAGAAGAATGCCAAACTGAATGACTTAGAAGAGGAAGCCAAAGAAAAAGCTGAGCACTTGTTAGCAAAAGCCAATGAAATGAGACAGGAACAGGAGGATGAGATAAAACATTTAAATGAGGTTTGTTTGATGTGGACTGGATTCTTTTTTAGCTTTCTTTAACTATGAGAATAACTTCTATGTTATAAATGACTACTTCACTGCTCTAACTTTTTTTTAAAAAGTCATTAAACAGCCTCGCTTACTTATCATTGCACAGGTCATCTTGAATGCCAAGTGTCATGCAATCAGGGATGCTCAAATTCTTGAGAAAGATCTCATTAAGAAAGAGATGGTTGAAGAAGAAAAGCGCCTGGATGTTATGATGGAGGTATTATATTTTATATTTCGTTAAATATATCAGTATCTCATGTTTATTGTGGAACATTTCTCAGTAGAGCTGAGTAAGTCAAAATAATAACCATAATTGAAAAAATGCTTGAACGTGCACTTCAAAAGCAATAAGATACACTATCTGGTTTCAATTATGGAGGCTGATAGTGTCAACAAACAATGGACAAGTATTTATTTGTATCATCATTCTTAAATTAATTTGTTTAACTTGAATAAATCTGATTGCATTCAGATTCTGCCTGAGAGAATTTCTCAGCATCTGATTATGATGGAAATATAGAGCATGGCATTTGTAAGAATAACAAGAGGTTTACTATTGGGTTACAAGCAGAAAGTGCATGAATGTTCTTTGGAGAGGCAATGATCTTGAGTTTAAAGATGATATTCTTTAATCATCTCCTGTTAACCGCCAGATCTGCTAACAGTGAGAAATATTGTGTTGTGATAATCTATTGCAAGGTTGACAGACAAAATGCCATCAAGATTTATGAAGAGATTGAGCAAAGGAGAAAAGAAGAGCAACTTCTCGGAGCAGCAAAACTGTTGGAGCAAATTGACGAAAATGAAAAAGAGAAAATCTTTGAACTTGAACGCAAGGACCAAGAAAATCTTCAGATGCAGAGGTGAGTAGTTTATGTGTATCTTGAAAAGTCTGGACACTTCTTTATAGCTTTTCAGTTTTTGTTTTCATTGAATGAATAGTAGGCCTACATTCTAAGATGTTTAACAAGATTCATCTGAGTAAATTTACATCTTAAAATTCAAGTTTTTAAGGCCTTTTTTTTTTTCAAAAGAATTTTAATATTTTTAAAGGCAAAATAAAATTTTACCCAGCCATACAAAGATCAGCATATTTTGTGGAAGCAAAATTTTTAATAGCAGGATGGAATTTTAATTTTGTTTGTTAAATCATCAAAATAACACAGAAAAATTAACGTTTTCAATAGGTACATAGAGAAACTGATGGAGGAAGACCAGGAGGTCATTGACAGGAAGAAAGCTGAGCAGATTTCACTGAGGGTAAGTGACAAAGACATTTATGTTGCAATGTAACTTCAATAAACTCTAAGTAAAGTTAAATAAATCCACATGTAAACGAATAGCCTGTAAATATAGTTCAATAAAATAAATTAGAGTATGTGTCATACAAATTAATGTTGCTATATGACATTTATAACCCGTAAGTAGAGATGAGTGTAGGCCTAAATAATAATGGTTTCAAATCACGGAATTAGAAAGATCAACTTAATTACACTCTGACTTTTTATTTACTTGCTGTATCTAAAATAAAAATTAAAAAATCTTTTGCTCTAGTAGTTATCTATCATGTCATATTGGGCAGCCCTCTTGACTTTGTCTTTGAATGTACGCTTGATTTAATTTTATGGCATGTGTAGGAGGAGCTCAACAAGGCTAATGAAGAGATTCTCAAACGTAAGGAGATAAAGGTCCTACAAGAAAAGGCAGAGGAGCTCAAAGTCATAGAATTTCAGAAACAGAAAGCTGTAAGTTGGAGTTCTTATTAAAAGTTTTATTTGGAAAAAAGAAAAAATGTCAACAGAGCTAAATAAATTTTACATATTAGGACATTGAGAGAAGTAATTTAACAGTGTAGAACATTGAGAGAGAGAGCTAATTTAACAATGTAGGGCATCAGTATATTGGTTTAATACATTAGGTTTTCTTATAGCTGTCACTATCACAGTTCAACAATAACACTGTTATTTCTAACAACAACACCAAATATATGCATACAGTTGATTTACTTGAGATACCAGCTAAAACATGCAACATTTGTTGCCAATGATGAAAAGCTTTTTGAATTTTTTCCAAAATCAAATAATTATAACTAATAGAGACACAACGTGTACAGTTAAAAGCATAAAGAGAGCTAAACTAGATACTCAATACATTTAAATGAAGGAAAGGGAAGCTGCATTTGAGAAAGAACAAGAAAAGATTAGAATTGAGAAGGAGAAGGAGGTGTCCAAGTTGCGAAGTCTGCAGGAGAGAGCCAGGGACGAGCAAGCGGAGAGGGATGCACTGAGGGCCAAACGTGCCCAGGAGCAGACAGAGAGAGACTGGCGTAGAAAAGAGGCTGAGGAAATGAGAAAGAAGGCTGAACTAGAGGAAAGCCTTAAGCATGCAAGGTCTGTCCAGATGCGACAGAAGGAGCATTACCTGGCTGTACAGGCACAGAGGGAAAGGGCTGAGTTTGAGAGAGTGCTTTGGTGAGTTTGAAATTGTTTACACAAAAAATCTGTCCTCCATTTAAAATTTTGAATATAAAGTCTGCAACTGTCTGAAAAGTTAAGTTCTTAAAAGAATTAAAGACAACCTTAACAGTCTGAAATAAAAGCATGCAAACTCAGAGTGCAAGATAAGTTATTATTTTTTTTATCTACAATGTGACACCTTAAATAATTTTTTCAAAGCCTGTAAATTTGTTTATTTTTTGGTCCTATTTCAAATAAATCTGTTTTTGCTGATAAAATTAGTTGTTCTAATATCTATTTCACTACAGCACATTCAATCGATTTAACCATTTTCAAAAGGAATAATATACAAATAATTGCAACACATTACATTTGTATGTTTTTACATTAACAGACCATAGCCAAGACTTTCAACTGCTTTGTTTTGTAGTTGATAAAGCTTCATCCCACTTCAAAATTCTTTTAACCTCTCAGAAATCTCAGACTTCATCTATATTAAAGAAAACAAATCAAATATTTTCCTTATGATAATTTTTATGCCATAATCTTTCATCAGCGCCCAGAAAGAACTCATAGAAAAACAGAAAAGGGAAGAGGAATTTGTCCACAAAAAGAAACTGGTGCACGCAGATGACGTTCGGGCTCAGATTAGAGAAAAAGAGAAACAGCGTATTTCTGAAAGGAATGCATTTTTCGAAGAAGGTGTTAAACTGGATGAGGAGGCCAGGGCGAGGCGGATGAAACTGGAGGCAGTCAAGAAGAAGAAATTGAATGAGCTGAGGTAGGAATTGTGTTGTTGTATTTCAGAGCTTTGGGGTCTTTTAACATCTAAACATGTGCTTTAGCTGTAACTTAATTAATGCCATTGTACAATACATCTTTGAATTCCGCATCATACAACTTGACGCATTATCTTGAATTTGTACTGTTTGTACAAGGAAAGTAAAGGTAAACATGATTGTGTACACATAAAAATTCAGGTTATTTGTTAGTGATAGAGACTATAAATACCTTCATTGATGATACTGTTGTGTATGGCGTATGTGAACTAACTTCAACAGGGATATGGGCATACCAGAAAAGTATCTGTCCTTGGTTGATCAGAAAGTAAAATTTGAAGCTCCAAAAGAAACAACATAGGGTATCAGTTAATTGGATTCATTTGATAATTATTTTGTTAATTTCTGACATTTGTTGTTGAAATTTTATTCTATTGTCAGGTGGAGTTTTGTTGGTTTTTTTTCCGTTCAATTTTTTGTTTTTTATGTAAGTTATGAAAATATGTATTCCATTGTTAGATTTGTCTAATTTTTGCCCAAGTTGGCCCAGAAATTATCAGTCCAATTAGCTGCCTAAGAAAGCAAGAAGAAAGTGTCTTTGCTACAAACCATATGTTCCTTTTACATCTTAGTTCAAATAAAATCTGCACGACAGATTAAATTCATCTTCTCTTAAAAGCTAATTTGTGAACTCTCATGAACAAAGCTCATGATTCCTAAAGATAAAACAGTGATGCCTCACTTCCTATATCCATGGAATGAATCAGCCTCTATTCATACATCGATGGAATGAATCAGCCTCACTTCATATATCCATGGAATGAATCAATAAGAATATCTTGTTCCCTGAAAATTAATAACACCATAATTAATGTGTACTTCTTTTTTTAATTCACAGAGAGGCTGGTATTCCTGACAAATACCTGGCAGAAGTTGAAAGGAAGGTCAATCATCCCCAAAAGATCATGGTCTAGAAGGGGAATCTTCATCTAGAATGTTTATCTTGTATTTATTATGATATTGTTTTGTTTTTTTACACTTCCAACTATTACCTTAAAATTGTGTGAAATGTTTACATTGATCTGATGATTTAGAAAATGTTTGCGCTGAGTTTCAGAATTTACAAGAGAAGTGATGGTATAATTTTGTCTACAGCGACAAATTATACTCTATGTTTATTTTGGAGATTATAATAAATTATTATACAATGACATGTCGCACTATAAAACAGGTCATGAGATGTTTTATAACTTACAGCTATAAATTATTATTCAAAATTTTTATGAAAATTAAGTTCATTTTGAAGTTAACTATGGATTCGCATATACTGTTTCAAAGAATTTGGTAAAATTTGTTGCACTAATCAATTGGTGTAGCAAATAACAACTATCCTTGTTATGTAAAATTTTTACAAAAGTGTGTGATTGTAAATTAGAGTGAATATGGGCTCTATAATAATGTAATGGGAATAAATGTTTGTTGTGCATGTGAGATGACAGGGAAATAAAACTGTGATTTATTGAATGTTCATGAGATTGGAAAGAAAGGAATAAAAGGTAAATAAAGAATTTATAAATCAACATACTTTAATAGGCTATTAATGAATTGAAATGAAAATCCATTAAATTCAAAAAATTTTATTTTTAGGTAAAAAAATTAAGCAATGTCAGTATTAGAAATCATTTACTCTCATTTAAGGATTTCATTCTCAATGCTGCCTACATAATTATTACATTTTTAAACCCTTTTTTTTTTAGGGGCTCATATAGAAAACAAATAATTTGAAGTCAAGGCTAAAGAGTTTTATTGCAGGATGTATTATATATATTTTCAAAAAAGTTTTAATTTAGCTGTTAGCTTAAAGTTTTGTTTGTAGGAAATGTTTTATTATGCAACTGTGATATATTAATACAATATTTTGTTCCTATAAAACTGTCAATATCACTGCATGTACAATTTTAAGGCAAAAAAAAATGTAAAAATTAATAACTGACTGATGTGATAAATTTTGTCATTTTATTAACATAATTTTTAAAAAAATATTTAATAGAATTAGACAAAGTTGTTAGTAATATAAATCTTTTAACTCACTTTAAGGTTATTTTTAAGAAAAAATATTTCAGTAAATCATTTTATTTTTTTAAAATAAAAAGTATTATAATTTATGAACATATTGGTATGGATGATAATTTGTTTTTACAAACTAAGATTTTTCAAAAACAATATTTTTTTTAGTTTTGTTGTGCATTATTCTTAGTTTCTGGATTAAAAAGTAATAAAGGGTGGAAAAAGGGGGGGGGGGGGAGTTTGAAGTGAGGTGAAACAATTGGAATTTAGAAAAAAGTGGAAAGAAAAACCGTAAAAAAATAAAAAATTAAAAAAAAGAAAAAAGTGTAAAGGAAAACCTGAAAAAAAGAGACAATGAAACAAAAAGATGTCTTAAAAAGCCTTCCTTAACCAACAAAGCAAGCGAAAAATAAAGTAAAATAAAAATGACTTTTTTTGTCTCGTCTTTTATCAGGTTTCCCTATGCCTTTTGTTTCTGATTTCATGATTAAATAACAGTGTTGTGAATGATAAGATGATAATATTGAAATAGAAAACACTTTTAAATCATCTTAACAGTGATTCTTTATGTAAAATATTTAATTTTTTTAAGGACATCAAAAATGGACCTCTCCATTTTGCACCTCTAGCACTACACAATGTCTCACTCACCTGATATGAACATCATTTTTAAAATTGATATCAGTTAGTTGAATTCTGTATAGATTTACAAATTAATTCTGAAGAGAGGAGAAAAAACAACTATTTTGATATTGTATGTTTACTACAAGCTTGGTGTGCCATTGGCTTAGAGCTACTTATGAGTTTGTGGTTGTTGCTTATTTGAAATTATCAAATACTTTTAATTCATCACCATTAAAAAATATGGCCAAATAAAATTATAACAAATTCCGGAACTAACTGATTTCTTTTTTTACTATATGATTTCTGAAAATATTTTTTTTATTTTAAGGAGGAAAAAAAAAGCACATAAATTTGTTTGTTTTTTTTTACTTCATAATTTAATCTGAAGTTAAATGTCATCAATTCCTATGTTAAGCTTTTTTTTAATCCCTTTTTTTGTCTCTTCTTAGCTGACAGGTCAGCATGCACAGATTATTTAAAGCCTTCTGAGTTGTTGTTCCTGTTTGATAGATTCTCTCCCCTGACTCTATTGGTTTAACAACAAAATGGTGCTTTTTTTGTTGTTTTTAACCAAATCCTCTCATGATTATTTGTTTTCCCAAATGAATATTGTTCTTTTACAGTAAAGACAAATTAATAACATTGTTATCTTCTGTTAGAAAATAATTTTGAAAAGGAAAATTGCAAAAATGATGGTGGAACCTATACCTATAACAGGCGCACAAAGCTCTATTATTTTAGCTAACCAGGCTTATATTTTCTAGTTACATTAAATAAGACGTCATGCTGTCCGAATTGTTTCCTTAACAATAATATATACGTGAGACGCTGGTGGTTATTTTTACTCTTTCAACTATTTTTTGTGTGGAGGGAAGTTCAAGACAGTACTGGGGGCATTAATTTTACCAACGTTCTAGACATATTATCTTGTCACATCTCCTAAGGAATATGTATGAGATTGTTTGACTTTAGGATACTGTTTTGGTTAATATGCTAAAAAAAGTGCAGAATTATTTTTTTTTTAATTTTGAGTAGTCTAATATACTGCCTGTCCACCATAGATTACGTCACGGTCCAAAAGGAAGACGGGGGGGGGGGAGGGGGGTTCTAAGAAAGTGTGACAGTTTGTGAAACGTGTTTTGGGGGGATAAAGATCTTGTGTAAACATCACACACTTTACCACACATAAAAAAAAATGAACTCGGCAGTGATGTTTAACTTTCTATTGTAATGTATGTATTCTGACAGTGATGTTGAACTCTCTGTTGTGATGGTGGATGTATTCCGACAGTGATGTTGAACTTTCTGTTGTGGTGGATGTATTCCGACAGTGATGTTGAACTTTCTGTTGTGATGGATGTATTCCGACAGTGATGTTAAACTTTCTGTTGTGATGGATGTATTCCGACAGTGATGTTAAACTTTCTGTTGTGATGGGTTTTATTAACATTTTTTAGTTCGATAATGTGGCGTACTTTAAGGGGACGTATTTGAGATTTGTGACAGATTGTGACAGAGGGGGGGAGGGTGAACATTGCGCATCCCCCCCTTTTCCAAAAGAAAAAGTGTGGTGTACTTTATGGACGGCCGCCCACTAGAATTTGGGTCTTAGCTCGACGGCGACTCCCCCCCCCCCAAACCCTACAGACAAGCATCCGATCTAATGTTAAGTGTTTTAGGCAATATGCTTAACTATCACTTCTTTGGTTATGGCAGGGCTAACTTCATCGGCTGCCATCCATCTTTGGCTCAAAATCTTTCTTATTTTCATGTCCGAATTTTCCAAAGCTTTTTACTCTAAAACTCCCAAATGAAAACTTCTACTGTCAACTAATTACCATTAGTTCCGTTGAGGGGAGTGACTAGAATGTGGTGATCATTTGCCATATTCGTCTCAGCAGTGATGATTCCACGTTCACGAACTTGACATCTCCACAGAGTTGATCAAACCACGGCACTTGTACCCACAAGGAAGTCAAGATTCCTGCACGTGTTCCATCAATAACTGGCTCTCAAATTGAAGCATGCTAGGACCTTCTGGTGACGGTGGGTGTGACATAGGTAAAAAAAAAAAAAAGGGGGGGGGGCGCAAAGGGGTGGTACATTTTTTGAGGAGCGTATGCCAATTTCAAAGTTTTTGTCATGAACGGCAGGGATCCGAAAAACTTAACCCATTCCGGGTGGCATTAACCCTATTTAAGCCAGTGGACAGAGGAGCATCAGAACTAACCCTAGATTAGCTAGTGGACGGAGGAGCATCAAAAAATATTGGGGTTGAAGGTCAACTGACCAAAGTTAATGTCAAAATAAAATTAAATATTTTTCATTTTAAGTTGATGCCAATCCTCTTACTATATTACTTGACTGAAATAGTCGTAGGACTTAAAGAATTTATTTGAATATGATTAGGGAGAATGAAATTAATTGTGTTTAAATCATATTTCATTAATGATGAGGATGTATAAATATATATAGATTTATATAGAGAAAGGTAGGAAGAGAGAGCAGTGCTGTCTTAAGGCAGTGGAACACTGGACAGTTACCAAGGACTTAACGCTTCTAGGGGGGCTCACTCTTCTAAGGGAATCGGGTTGCCCTTGTTGTTAGTGAATATGGACAGAAAGATCTTTTAAATTAGGCAATTTACTTTACTAAACACAGCCAGGTCCAAGGACACCTAAATTTACACAGGCATTTATGCTGTTGCTCACCGATCAAGCTTAGAATAACGCCAAACTGAATTCTAGGGGGGCTCACTCTTCTAAGGGAATCGGGTTGCCCTTGTTGTTAGTGAATATGGACAGAAAGATCTTTTAAATTAGGCAATTTACTTTACTAAACACAGCCAGGTCCAAGGACACCTAAATTTACACAGGCATTTATGCTGTTGCTCACCGATCAAGCTTAGAATAACGCCAAACTGAATTCTAGGGGGGCTCACTCTTCTAAGGGAATCGGGTTGCCCTTGTTGTTAGTGAATATGGACAGAAAGATCTTTTAAATTAGGCAATTTACTTTACTAAACACAGCCAGGTCCAAGGACACCTAAATTTACACAGGCATTTATGCTGTTGCTCACCGATCAAGCTTAGAATAACGCCAAACTGAATTCTAGGGGGGCTCACTCTTCTAAGGAAATCGGGTTGCCCTTGTTGTTAGTGAATATGGACAGAAAGATCTTTTAAATTAGGCAATTTACTTTACTAAACACAGCCAGGTCCAAGGACACCTAAATTTACACAGGCATTTATGCTGTTGCTCACCGATCAAGCTTAGAATAACGCCAAACTGAATTCTAGGGGGGCTCACTCTTCTAAGGGAATCGGGTTGCCCTTGTTGTTAGTGAATATGGACAGAAAGATCTTTTAAATTAGGTAACACAGCCAGGTCCAAGGACACCTAAATTTACACAGGCATTTATGCTGTTGCTCACCGATCAAGCTTAGAATAACGCCAAACTGAATTCTAGGGGGGCTCACTCTTCTAAGGGAATCGGGTTGCCCTTGTTGTTAGTGAATATGGACAGAAAGATCTTTTAAATTAGGCAATTTACTTTACTAAACACAGCCAGGTCCAAGGACACCTAAATTTACACAGGCATGTATGCTGTTGCTCACCGATCAAGCTTAGAATAACGCCAAACTGAATTCTAGGGGGGCTCACTCTTCTAAGGGAATCGGGTTGCCCTTGTTGTTAGTGAATATGGACAGAAAGATCTTTTAAATTAGGCAATTTACTTTACTAAACACAGCCAGGTCCAAGGACACCTAAATTTACACAGGCATTTATGCTGTTGCTCACCGATCAAGCTTAGAATAACGCCAAACTGAATTCTAGGGGGGCTCACTCTTCTAAGGGAATCGGGTTGCCCCTGTTGTTAGTGAATATGGACAGAAAGATCTTTTGTTTGTTTTTTGTTTTGTTTGTTTTTTGTTTTGTTTGTTTTTTGTTTTGTTTGTTTTTTGTTTGTTTTTTGTTTTGTTTGTTTTTTGTTTTGTTTGTTTTTTGTTTGTTTTTTGTTTGTTTTTTGTTTTGTTTGTTTTTTGTTTTGTTTGTTTTTTGTTTTGTTTGTTTTTTGTTTTGTTTGTTTTTTGTTTTGTTTGTTTTTTGTTTTGTTTGTTTTTTGTTTGTTTTTTGTTTTGTTTGTTTTTTGTTTTGTTTGTTTTTTGTTTGTTTTTTGTTTTGTTTGTTTTTTGTTTTGTTTGTTTTTTGTTTGTTTTTTGTTTT